TATTGTTACTAAATATAAGTTATTCAGCTTTTATACACAAATATTATTTAATTAGTAGTAGATAGACTAACAAATTAATAACCATCTAATCAAATTTGTTATTTTTTATGTTAAGTTTGTAAAATTTATGTACCATGACAACGTACGAAAAACGATTACTATAAACACGTGACAAAAAATTTTAATATCTAACAGTAGCTTAAAATGACATCCCATATTTATTGTGAACATGGCTAATTTTAGGTTAAAGCAAGCAAGCACAAATAAAACTGATCGTAGAGTTTTGATTGCAAGCAATGCATATGAATGAGGTCTTTCTATTTATTCTCTTTCCTTTCAAATAATGTAGAACATAGAAACATCTAAGTAATAAAAAGTTAATAAATGTCTGGGATTCTCACTAGTAACAGTAGCTTTTATTTTGATGATGTTTCTTACTTTACATTAAATAGTTCAACTATAATGCTCCCAGTATGATTTCCAATATCATCAATGCCTTATTCATGCTTATCATCCTAACTATTATTATAATCATAAAAAAATCTTATTTTTCCTGCCCTATTTTTAATCGTAACAAATTATACTGATTTTATTCTAAATCATTTTCTGTTATTATTAATCGCATCTCAATTTTTACTCTTGATACAACTCTATTTGTTATGATTTATTATTATAGCAAAATAAAAACAGCACAAAATTTATCGATCATATACTTCGATGCCAATATTATCTATAGATTCCAGTCCTTTTAACCATTTCAACAGGTAATTAGGTAAACTGAATCAATATGGAATTACTTAAGCATCTTTTAGGCATAAAAGAATGGTGGCTAGCGGTGGAATTCAGGACATATTTACGGGATTTTAAAATATTTATTATTACCAACGATACTTGAACGTTCTGAGATTTGTCTTCTGTGAGAAATGAGGCTACACAATGATGAGGATTCTAGAGGCATAATAAATCATTTATCTGTTGCCTTACTTGTTATTCAGTCACTATTGTTATATCTGGACAAGAAAAAGTGAATGGCAACCGTTAGTATTTATTTATGGACTAATATTATACTCATAATCTTATTGTATGATTATTAAGTAACTATATTATATGTATATTCATATTCCTTTCATTATACGCTTTCATTTGATCCATTTCCTATTATCATACGATTTCTTATTCTTGAAATATTCTCAATTTACTAGTAACAGTCTCTCACAGCCACAGCCACTTTTTGGCTTGGTATTGTATAATTGATATTTTCTATTTATGGTATGATTCGGTCTGGTTTGTTTGTCTATAAACTCAGTATGTCTGAAATGTATGAATCGTATAGTAGAGGCTGATATTGGCGTTCTAGACTAAACCGGCTGGGTTAGGGTATAAGTCTTCTAATTGAACGCCAGATTCAGTTTCCTAAGCTAGTTACTCCCAGGCTAAATCTACACAGCAACTTGAACATGAGAGAAAATGCACGAAATATGGGAGAAACGCTTTACTCCAAAGGTTCGCTCATGTACAGAAAATCTAGAGTATTTATATTTCTGGAGCGCTACTAAAAATAGTGGCAGTATAAATAATCATCCAATCCGAAACGCGATATATGGCTTTTCACTTTGTAAATGTTTCTGGCAAAAAATCTATTGAATACTAATTGTACAAGATGTTTCTCAGCGTTTACAGCATTTTTTTAAAACTTTTTTCGTGGAATTTTCCGGACCTACCAACATTAGGAAAGGCTATTGTTTTCGGTGGACCAATAAGAGCTCTAGACTGCTCGTACAGGTTCATGAGTCATTAATCTGGTCGTATAAGTCGGTGTTAATAATTGGTTATTGTATCACGTGGTATCATTATTCGGAACTAAGGACATAACAACTTTAATATCAATTCTTGAAGAAAACAATTCTGAAAATAAACAAATATCTTTAGAAAATTAAAAATTCATTTATTATACAAACTTTACCATTCTAAAAGTGGTTACATTTATCTATTAAAAGAGAACATTGAGCTAAATCAAATTGATATAAATGATGTCTATACATAACCCATTTTTCTTGAAACCTACAAAGTGTAATACACACCAAGTTATTCACAAACAAATTAGTTCATTTAAAATGTAAAAATTGTAAACAGAACCTACGAAAATTAATTACTATTACACTGAACTAAACAAGCTTGGTAAACAATATCTACACCTATCTCTCGATTTATCAATATTTTGTTTCTCTACTTTCCTTATTTAGTTAACTGATTGGATATTAACATACAAAACAACATATGACCTTAATCTCTTAGTGTTCAGTTCGTTTGTTAAAATTATTTAAGTCCACTTAATAAATTCTAATTTTCTTTTGTATATTGTTATTTATTAGTTTCATAAGTTCCTCTTTACAATTATTAATAGTTATATACGGTTTATCATAATTACATTCTTCCTTCCATACTCCCCAAGAACAACAATCAAGCGTCCTATATTACAGTTACCGAGTATATCTTTTGACAAATACTGTTTGGCACTAATACAAAATTCTTTGAGTGTGGCTAATATAAACAAAACAAATTTAGATACTAAATACTTCAACAATAAGCATAAACTACAGTGCAATATGATACTCCAAATATAAACGGTAAATTTTTAATGTTTATAACGTAAATCAATAAAGACTGATTATCTAATGAAGTATAAACTAACAATTTAAATTTATCCTGACATCTCTAAATGAATATGAATTTTAGTTAATCTTATTTAACTAAACGAGCTACCGTCACAATGTATTTATTGTCTGGTTAATGGATGGGATTAAGGTTAAGTAAGAAGATTAATGATAACGGAAATTTTAAGTAATCAAAACTAAATTACTTCTTCTGCAATAAATCCAACAAGATATACATCCTTTCGGCTTACATTAATATTGATTAGTTGTTTTATCATCAAGATGTAAATACAAATAAGATTGGAAAGCATTAGACACTTCTACCTATAGTGACTAGGGTATTGTGACCATTTATATCTATATATATATATATATATATATATATATATATATATATATTAGGTATAGCTATAATTTCTAAAAAAGCTTGTGTTCAATACCACTGACGAACTAAGTTTTTTATTTCCAATGCTAAAAACAAGAAAAATAAACAACTAGATGCTTCTTCGGTATCTGGAAGGCATCCAACTAGCTATGACATCTAATACTTCTGTGTTTAACTGTTTAAATAGTTGAGGATAAGTAACTGTCGAATTAGAAAGGAACATCTAATCAGAAAATATTTATCAAACCAGTCAATGGATATTCTCAAAACTATTAATTGTATATAAGTATCTCAAAGAAACGACCTGGCGGAAAACAGACATGAGACCTGTTATCCTTTCAAACAAGCTGGATAATAGAGAATTTTAAAATGCAATTTTTACTGTAATGTGTTGAGTATCGTACTAAAGCGAAAAAGATGTTCAATTCTCAATGGTACCCCTATATGGCTAGTTGTCGTTTTGAGCAGCATACAAAAGTATTGTTGCTGTTCATTATACGTGATCGGCTCGTCCCTATAATACACTTTGTTAGACTGTACAGATAAAATAAAAGATAAAGCTCCACTTACTAACCACATATAGTTAATAATATTATTTTGAATGTTGCGTATAGTTTTGAGTGAATAAAAATTAATCCATAAATATACATTGCCTTAACAACGAAAATATGATAATATGAATACAAAATGTTCACAACAAGACAATCACCTATCTGACTGATTGACTGAATTAAACAAACCCAGAGTAAGTGTTTTGACAAAAAAGACCAACAATACTCAATACTTAGATTAAACACCACTTTTCTTAACTGGCAGATTTTCGCTAATAAAAAAGTAATTTAAACACTTTGAATAGTTAATCCACACTGATTACATTAAGATACGTCAGTGAATGTTGATTAAAGATCAGCAATTTAAATGTAACCTTAAATTCGATTTCTGATCATTTGTAATCCCAATACTTGGATGCAACAAAATCGTAAGTTAAACACTGAACAATCTGATTACTTCAAACAACTTTTCGATATCTTATAAATACAAATAATAAAATGAATATATCACTTCAATAAAAATATATATTTAGGTTTTCATTTTTCATTTGTTGACATCATTTATGATGAAAATTGATAGAAAGGTAGAAAATAAAATTACCATTCATTCATTGATGATGATAATAATAAATATACACAAGAAAAAGAAGAATGATGTTTCAGTAAATAGAAGGAAACTTTTAAACAGGATTAATTGTTCAGTTATTAATAGGAAGAAAAAAGATCACCAATAAAAATGAGGAATGAACCAACGAGTTCCCCATACAGTCACGTAGCGTAATTCACTATCGACTTCATCATCATCGTTATTTTGGTTTTACTGCTGACTGATTGGTCAAGATCTTTATAACTTTTAAAAACTGAATTATAGATATGTTTAGATTACACACTAGCTGTTTTTGTACCCAAGTTATAGTACATATTTTAGTATAAATATATCGAACAACGGTCTAGCACAAACAAAGAAGTAACAAGAAAAAAAAAAGAATTGAAAATCGACAAACACTGTTTTTCCGATCTGCATGATACAACAAAAATAAGGAAGCATTTTATAAATGAAAAAGAGAAAAATAGTGTTGTATTTCTAGGATAAAATCTGTTCAGTCATATGAAATATATCAGTGAATCGGATTATGGGAATAAAAGTTTCATTAAATGGCAGGTGAAGACAAAGTCTTTCATAAACTATTCCTGTTCTACTCAATCACTCTCATTATGCTTTATACTTCATCAAATTCATAAAGACACGTAGAATTTTATTTTAAAATGGAAAACAGTTATACAATATCAAGAAAAAAGTGAAGAGAATTCCTTAAATTAGATTTTTAAAAATTGGAAGGTGGAGACAGACAAAAGGGGAAAGAATATCTTCAGAAATCGATTTTTTTACAAATGTATATACAGATATTGTCATGGCTTACCATACGATACAATAACAGTTGGTACTTTTGAACAGTTAACTTCACTATGTACATGTGTAGGTTCATTGGCTAAACTACCATGATTATTATAAGTAGTGTTATCAGCTGATTTGTCACGATAAAGAAAGTATAGTAGGAAAAAATAAAATAAAAGACCAGATCCTTTGACAACCAATCCAAGGCCTGAAATGATAAAAACATAATGGGATAATTAATTATAACTTATATCGGTTTATCGTCTTAATAATTGCAACAAAATTGAACACATTTATACATACATTATAGACAGATCTTTTATTTTAAGGTTGAAATAATGCAATTAGGAAATATTGAGTTGTAAGTTTAAAACTAGCTCAACCTCTTTTAGTGTGCTCATGCACGAATAGTATATTTAGTTCTCATATAAGACGTATCGAATAAAGTCAATTACATGAAAAAATAAATGTAATAACAAAGCGTCATAACTAGTAAAATTGTATGATTATGAAGTTAACAAAGCACTAACAGTAAACCATCCTAAAGAAACCTGACAAATGAAGCGGAATATTTAGCTGTACAATAAAATTCACTAAATGTACAAACATAAACTTAATTTTAATAATTGACTTCATAAGTCTATCTAGGCCAGACCACCATTGAAAACCTGGAAGCACTACATGGTTTAGAGGCTAAGCGTTCGCGTGTGAGACATAAGGTCCTGGGTTCGAGTTCCGCGTGTAGATTAGTGGATGCGCACTGTTGAGGAGTCCCATGCTAGGACGAAACGACTGTCCAGTGTTTCCAGGTTTTCATTGGTGGTCTAGCTTAGAGTGAATTCAATTGTTAAAATACTACAATTTCCACAAATCCCCATACATAATTGTGAAAATACCATAATCACTTGTTAGTGCGACGAAAAACCAACACAAGTAACTAAAAAACGTGTTCGTACTACTGAAAGTTATGAGTAACTTAATAAAAAAGCTGTAACACATCGAGTGAATAATACCCCTAAAACTATCTAGATTCAAGAAGTTATTTATTGGACAACACATTTAGATATGGTTGCAACTAGTATGAATTATGATCAAGTAATATCAGGTCAATGATAGCATTCAATAAAGATCCCAGTAATCAGTTACATTAGCATAATAATTAACAGTTAATTATAATAGTAATAATAATAAAAGTGACAGTAACGATTGATCACAAAATTCTTTACGATGAAATGAAAATTGTAAAAAGATTAGGTATTTAGATGTGATAAACTAATATCGGGTCAAACAATATATGAATAATTATATAAACAAGGTTCAGTATAACAGTAACTGGACATTTGTCCACGCTTTAAGTAAAATTTTATTGATACAATTATTGTGCATGTAAACACGATCTAGGGCACATAAAATAAAATAGATCTATCTAATATGTTTGTCTAAATATATATATCACAAAATCTGACGAATTTCGCCTACACCAAATTTATTTATTTATTTGAACAAAGGGGCACCAGATACATATGCGCCACACAATAATAATGAGAATGTGAAGATATAAAGAATATAAGGTGCGTATAAGAAAAAAAGAAGTACAATAAGGAACAAAAATTAGTGTATGATATTGAGATAACAATAATGGGAGAAACATTTCAATTGGCAAAATACAGTCATAGAGAATTCTTCGACTTAAACATGTTACTTTTTTTACGAATTAAAATAAACTTACAGCAGCATCGCCACTGGCTTCTATTTTGAGCCATATCTGATAACGTCTCTAGCCACTGTGTCCCACCATCTCTCGGACCCCAGCAAGAGTCATGAAGGACCGACAGAAGCCAGTCCTGTGCAGCTTTCTTTCATACCACGACACCATGTCATACACTGACCACCTCTCCGTTTATTCCAACCAGTCAAAAACGTCGAAAAATAATGCACGACGTGGAATTCTCTGGGACGACATTCGTAGAACATGTCCAAACCACCGAAGTCGATGTTTCAAGATGGTGACACCAATTGCATTATCGTCTCTGTGCCCGAACACACGATGCCGAACCTCTACATTACTAACATGGTGTTGCCACTGGATGTCAGCAATCCTATGGAGACAGCGATGATCAAACATAGAGAGTCTTCTAACATCCTCAACTCGGAGAGGCCAGGTTTCACAAGCATAGAGCAAAACTGCTGTCATCGGTGCGTTGTAGATTCGACCTTTTACAGCCAGACTAACATCACGAAGGTGTCGAAGACGGTTCAGATCGGCATAAGCCACTCTGGTTTTCACTATACGTGCATCGATCTCATCACTCACGCCACTACCAGCACTTATGCAGTTACCTAGATACACGAAATTCTCGACTACTTCTATCTGCTCACTGCCTACGGTGAGTGCAGGATCAGGGTCCTGCCAGTCCTGTAAAAGTACTTTGCCATTAGAAGGTGCGAAACACGTATCATACCTACGGACACTAATTGCCAACTGAATACGTGCGAATTGCACCTATCGCACATTAAGATAATATCATCCGCATACTCAAGGTCGAGAAGTCTTTCTCCAAAAGTTTGGACGCAACCGCAAGTAGACTTATCCGCCTGATAGTTGTTACAAGAACCCTTTTTAAAGATAGGGACAACTAACAATTCATTCCATAACGTTAGTACACTCTCTAGTTTCCAGACCTTTGTAAACATCGTTGTCAGTCCCTTAGCCATAAAGTTACCACCATTTTTAAAAAGAGTCGGCGGTAAGTCATCTGGACCCGGTGATTTGTAGCGCTTCGAGAGTTGGAATTCCTTGCGGACTTCCGCCTCATTTGGTGGATCAGTCATCACAGGCCATGGAGGGCAGGGCAGTCTGACCGATGTTGTCAGAGCAGCAGGCCAGTTGAACTGCCCTTCGAAAAATTCTGCCCATCGTCCAAGACGTCGATGGATGTTAGTGGTTGGCATCCCGTCATCCTCACAGATTGTTTTGCTTACACCAGACTTCTTGCTGCGAGTAACTCGGATGAGTTGAAAGAGCTTCCGGTAGATACCAGATGCAGCTGCTGCTTCCAACTCATTAGCACGCTCTGACCACCAGGCCTCTCAGTCCTTACGCAAGCTTTGCCCGATTTCATTACGTAATAACCTTCGATTGTGGTCAAACTTACGGTCACCCAGAGTAGACCGACGGGCTTCGATGATTTGTAAGGGGCCAGAAGAAACCCAATGCTTATATAAGCGGGACGATTCCCAAGGCCGCAGGCGACTTTACTCGCTATTTTCATGGCGTCGTGCAATTGCAACCAATGCTCATCTATACTTTTCGTTGGGATGTTAGCTAGCCTAGAACCTAGCTCTGTATGATATTTAGTTGCAACAGAAGTTGCTACCAACTTACTGACATCGATCCGTTTAGGACGGTGAGTTTGTTGGCCACTGAAAAGTAAGGCAAGATTAGCGCAAACAAGTGCATGATCAGAATCCAGATAGGTATTCCAAAACATTCGCATAGTATATGATCCATTAAAATTATAGCAAAATGTACGAAAATGCTTAAATAAATTACAAAGAATATTTGGTGAAAGTATAAAATTTAACAAAATTCTGATTTACCCAACAACTTACCAGTTATATATAAATTTAAATCCCGCACATCTACAAAAGCACAATCACCTACACGACCACATTCTGTTCGCCAAAATCGACACGCTCCATCAATCACACGTCCGTATACAATTGGTGAAGGTAAATAAGAAAACAATCGTACTATTGTAAATTGAAGGCCCAAAGCAAAAGAACGTTGATTATGATCAACTGATCGCATTGTAACCATTAATAAAGGATTTTGAATTACACCAGTTAGAAATAATAAAAATGTTAATAGAACAACAAATGGAATTAGTGTATGACAGTGTAAATCACATTCACCAGGTTTTGTTACATCAATAATCTTAGATGAAGCAATACTGTTATTATTGAAGCTGTGTAATGTACAAGCACATTTACGAAACTAGAAATGTGTAAAAAAAAATAGATCGACAAGTTATTATTATTATTATTATAAATGGGGACAGTGTTAAGATAATGTTATTTGATACAACTGGCAAAATAGCTAGTGACACTTTGATTCAATCATAACATTTACTATCCAAAACGTTGACTGACCCTGGTACCGTTGCTTGAAAATTTAACGTACAAATAATAACAGCTTTAATTTCAATCACATATTTCATTCACTGATCAATGATTCTGCATTTTTTCTGAAATCTATTGACGGTCAAAATGCGTGTATTATACAACTTGAGCAAATTATCCGTTCAGCTACTTAAATCATCCGACTACAATTTCGTACTATCAATGCTGATTCCCTATGGGTTAACGAATGAAATCAAGGTAGTTTTGCCAATATGATTACAGGACAATTTAACTGCTTTCTGAGTGGATCAATGACCAATGACATACAGATAAAAAGATAATATACCAATCATTCAATGATGGTTATGAAAATACAATACTGAGAAGTTGACAAGATAAAACAAAATGGCAACGTAGCTGGCAAATTTCCTAGAACCCGAAAGAAAACGCATTTGTAGACACTCCGTACATGATACTTTTGAATTGATTCTCCTATTGATCCATTACTAGTAGATTGCTTCATCACTAATCTATAAAATAACTAACTTAAAACAACTATCGAAAACTTCAACTGGTATAAAAGGTACGTAGATGATATATCTATAGCTTGTGACAACAAATATGATTTGAGTCATCTTCTAAAGACATTTAATAACTGTCACCAACAAATAAATTTCACACTTGAAGTTGAAAACAAACGAAATATCCACTTTCTTGATGTGGAAATGCCAAGAAAACAAGATGGAGATCGAAGATGTATTTACAGGAAACCCATATGGAATGGCTATTTGAAAAGTAAATCAAATAAATACTTGGATACAGCCTGACTCCCAACATCACTGATCTTCACTAATAAAACTTCTCATTAGAACTTCAAGATTCCATATCAAACGTACTGAATGAGATGTCTGTGAAGATTCATTTAATTTTTGAAGGCAGTTATGGATGAGGACTACTGAAGAGCCCCATTCTAGTATTCAACTGATGTTTGGTACTCTATGTTTTTTAATGTTTCCCTAACCAAAGTCCATCACTTTTTATTCAAAATTTCGCTTCAGCGCGTATTCTGTAACTATTTATATAAATTTTCTAAGTTAACAGTGAGCAGTGAGGTAGTTAAGTATTAATCAATTCACATAGTTTAGACGTTACGGTATAATGAATGTGTCGATGATCAGTGAAATCTATGATTGACTACAGAAAACTGGTTTATTTTTGCATGAACTTACACTACATGTATCAGAAGCAAGGTTATTATTTGTAAATCAAAAAAGTGGGTATGTTTAACAGTTATTACTTATGAATTACAATATTGTTATGCAACATGAAATTCGACAGTAGATAAAAAGTTTAGGAACATTTACGCAGTGGCTTTTACACAGCAGAACAGCAAAGTAATCAATTGTAGTATCAGTTTCATCGTACAAATTAAAAGGAGATTAATTAATTAAAATTATAAGCTTTCATTAACTAATGTGGTCGGAACAGTTTGGAATATACTAGCTGTCAAATCAGATGATTTTGATTCTCTCACGATACCCTAATGAAAAAGATTTAAAATTAAGCCGGTACACACTTATATATATATATATATATATATATATATATATATATATATATATATATATATAACACCATGAACATGGCTATTCACAGTAGTATGTTATAATAGAAATATTAATTATAATGTATGATGTGGTTTCAAATAATTAATAATCAATTTGCTGGTGAAAAGAATTCTAACACAAAAAAAATGATATATGAAAATACCTCATATACTGAGTTATTGAGAAGAAATCTTTCTTGACAACCGGCATGACAAGGTGAAATGTACGTGATATCAGAAGCTAAATGACACACTGGAGACCATTCATTTTGATTACATGAACAATTATCATTGCATACTGATAACATTTTACGTGAATAAAATGATCTGAAAATAACAATTAACGTGAAATAAATTTGAAAGTATGCAAATTTAAGATAATCCATTGTGTCATTGCGTAAAAATAAAGTGAAGATTTTCTTATCAACGAAATCATTCATTTATTCTGTACACTTGTAATTATAGCGGTTCGGTGAATATATAGAAAGATAAAGATTACATCATAAATTGATTTGAGTGTTCAAATATTGAATGTGGTTGCGTAATAATCAGGAGAGTTAGAGGAGAATAGAAGGATGAAAATAATTTACGGGTCGGAATCATGAATATAATTGAATAAAACCTTCTATTCAGATAAGCTTCGTATTAACTTCGCAACCCGGCCTAACGTTCACGAATGTATTAAGGGATAAACTTCCGCATTCAGCAACATCAATGTGCATCTATAAATTTGCCTGCACCAAAGGAGCAGGTTTCATTGACCATACAAAGAAACCACCTTACAAATACACATCAGAACATTACCCAGTGTGGCTTTTAGAAGGTAAATACAAAACAACCAACACTTCAATACAGGATCACCTAACCAACTTGGGATACGTAGCTTCAAAGGAGTTGTCCTTCAAAATAATCTACAAAATCAAAGAGACTGGATGGAAGAGAGGCCGAATAAAAAACTTATGCACTGTTGAGGCGTTAGATACCCACCAATTTAAGCCTGAACACTACGTTCAAAAACGAAACGTCCAACTTCCCATCCTCCTATGGCCTTGATTCCCTTTTGTGGAATGGTTTTGTTTTGTTTTGTATTTAATGTGATCTTGTAATTTAAACTGTAATCAGTTCTTATTATCCCTTAACAATTTTCCATGATAATTAATCAGTTGTTATTATGATGTTAATGTTTTCATTTTTGATCATAACTGTCAAGTGGACAATTATCTTTCATAGTTCTGACTACCAAACTAGTCTCATCCGCTTATTCTTTTCTAACCCCCTTGATTATTACGCAACCACACCTGATATTTTCAATCTCGTATCACTTTATGATGCATTCTTTTCTATCTTTCTATAGAAATATGCATTCACCAAACAATTAAAAATACAAATACACAGAATAAGTAAATGATTTCGTCGACAAGAAAACTTCTTCGGTGAATTCTGTGTATGCAGACTTAAAGGATGGTTCAGTAGAGAATTGAAAACAGTGAGCTCAACAGTTTAGTTGCAAAATTATTAAATTTTTAAATAATAATCAGTATCTATAAAACTGAAGAAACACTTAGCCTATAAGTAGTTACAAACTTGAAATATAAGTCATGTACACACTGATGGTACTCAACGTTAACCAAACAGACAAAGCCGAAACAGATATTCAATTAAAACAGCTAGTCACAAGACATCAATAAAGGTTGACTAAATCAACCCTATGATATTGTGCACATAATTTGACATGTTATAATACACATGTGTGGTTTTTTAAGCGCCTGATATATCATTGAATAGCGCAGATTTCAACAGTTAAAACGAGTTTACATCAAGAAGGCTCTGAACTAAATTGTGTTTTTTATAAAATTAAGCGAATATGTTATGCAGTTAAGATACATAATAAGTAACTCATAACAAATACGAAAGAGGAAAATTTATTACAATATCTCCACAGTCAAGAAGACAGATAGCTGAACGATTTCAGTGGTCAACTGCAATTCCAGTTCATTGGAATTTCGCCATTTACTAATGATAGAACTACACTATGGGTAACACGCGAGATATCAGTAATATATCTGATTTTAGCAATCATTATGATATTATCATAATTAAACAATAAATAAACAACCACTTAATTGCATAGCAACATTACTAATGAATGGCAAATATATATACTTAGTAAATGATCTCTTTTTTCCAGGTCAAATAAATTTTAATTTAATTGTTCATAATTTTTCTAGACATACATATAAATTCGGCAAAATTATCCTACATGGTACGAAACTTTTCCCAACTTATAACGATATTATTCGGTACAAACACGTACAGAACAAAAGGTGGTTTAACATTTAACAGGATGTAACCACTTTAATAGCCATAGGTTTGCAAATTTGTGGACTAAATTACCATTTTTATACTTTATTGTAAAAAAGTTATTCCGTGATGTTACAACAGTAGATAAATGACTAAACACCCTTCTTATTATTAAACTACTTGTCATCATCTTACATTTGGCATGAGTTATAGAAAAAATAAATTCAAGTATCTGAATACTATGAGTTAATGAGATCCCCAGAAAATTAAACCATAGCAATTGAGAGGCATGCAAAATTTAGTACAAATAAATGTAGATATAAGAAAATTTGGACGGAATTAGTAGGTGAGCTTATATTCTAGAGAGATGCAACTTATTGGTGTCAGCTTGCAACAGAACTCTTCTGTGAGATTTCAAACAAAATCACTGATAAAGAATCAGATGTGATTACCAAGTTAAACGAGATAATTTTGGACTACGCTTGTAAAATAGCCTAGACAATCAATCATTTGTCATTAATAAAATATTTCACTAATGAGAATAGGCGTGACAACAGATTGGTTCCACATATGAGGCGATATCCAGCATAGGAAAAGAACATGAGTTCGAAAGCTCAAAGTCAATTATCGATGTACATGGAATTATAAATATTGTAAACCAAATGAAATTACTTCAAGTACACACCGTGTAATCAGAATCAACAGTTGTAAAATAATGAAAGGATTATGTGACACTTGAACACAAAAAGTGCTGTATTCGAGACAGAATATTACACGATATATATAAACATGGTAATAACAGGTTAAGAGGCAAAATGAATTTCAGGAATCTGACGCATACACTATACTAATTCACTGCTACATACATTTTTCGTGAAGTAATCATCAGAACAACCATCAACAAGCACAAAAGTCAGAAACTTCAATACCAACGTCAAGACAGTTCTACTGTATGCAGCTCAAATTTCCAGAACTATTACAACCTTCATCAAAATATCACAAGTACTTATAACCAATTGCCTACGCAAGATATTCAATGTATGTTGACAGGATATCATCAGCAACAACACGCTGTGGGAAATAGCAAACCAAGTTTCAGCTGAAAAGGAAATTAGGAAAAACCACTCGAGGTGGATAGGACATGCATTGCGGAAATTATTAAACCGCATCACGAGACAAGCCATAACTTGGAATACTGAAAGGGATAGAGAAAGAAGAGGACCAAGGAACACATTACGTTGGGAATTGAAAACAGACAGCAAAATAACGAGTAGCGACTGGAAAGGAGTGCTCAGAACGGAGTCCTACGTAGAATGCTGGTGGGCGGCCTATGTTTCTCATCGAGGGCTAACAAGAGTAAGTATTTTAGTAAATCAGACCATCCAACTAAATGAACACATCTCGATAATAATAGTTAATCTCTAATGTCTCAAGAAACGGATTACAACTGTTCAAATAAATCAAATGTCGAATTAAAAATCTATGGTTTCTCAACTTTTATTGCACATCGTCAGTTAATTATTTAGGGACAGTAAATATATACATGTACATTTATTTTTTAAAAGTAAGAACTATATTGATCAAACGGGAAGTAATTGGAGTAGGATTTGATAATGACAAGTAGGAGATTTAGAACCGATTTTTGAAAAAACTATGCCACAACTCTGTTTCATTACTCAGCTGGATTAACACACATAATTTACCACCACAGTTATGAATTGTTTTACCAAATCATACAGAAATAACTTTCAAAAACCGATTGCATATTAGATTAGTTCAAGTTTACAGACAAAAATAATACAAATATATTATCGAATTGTAATATCTCGTTATATACGCTTGAACAGTAATCGATTGACATGCTATTTTTGATTATCTGTTATGCAAAATATGATGCAATAACGATATGTATGTGTAAGTAGTCGTCTATTACTGGTCTGATGTAACCGAAGGTACATATGTTGTAACAATTTTTTTAAATGACATATGACTAGGTCAGTCAGTTGATTACTTGTAAACTAATTAAAAGACAAATCTATATATGTGATATTGAGAAAACAGAGATTAGTATTGATGAATTTAGACGATCTGATGACCCAAGACCACGATTTAAGCCCAAATTCCGGTTCAATTGCAATAATGGATAATCAAAATCAAAAATATTTGGTCTTAAGAAATGTCAGACCGAACAAACAAGCAATAGACATTGATCAAAGTCACGGGAAAAAAGCATTACATTTCACTGAAATCAATCTAATTAAATGTAGGAAATGGAATTAAACAGAAGTAAACTCTATACGGCCGACTTTGAGGGGATTTCCAGTCAATCTATCAAGGGTTTAGAACTAAAATTACAATTCATAAATCGTTTTGAAACGGTTTAATCGCCATTCTAAGCATCGCGCAAATTTGTTTTTAATTGTCAGTCCCATACTATTATCAATTTTAAGCTTCTTAGCAGCTAAATATTACGTAAGACAAACGTAGTGATGAATCGGATTGGGAGAATTCCATAGGGACTTGCCAGGGTTAGTATGATTCACTCCAAGTTCCTAACGATGTCATGGAGCGGTGTAGTGAAACGCGATCCCCGACTGCATACACCGGTCTTTTCACCTGACGGTCGTACATGTCTTTTTGGTGTCCACTAGCCTTGCGCAAGGTGGTGTCGACCAAGTGGTATGCATCTATTGGGTGGTTACGGAGACTACGTATGTACGGTACATGTTCGTGGGCTTTGCGGGGCAACAAAAGCGTATAAATCTCCACCGGTAGGCGTAATTCGTGCCCGAACAGTAAAACGGCAGGTGAGACCTGTGGACCCATGTACCGATGTACGATAAACTAGAAGGCATTGGGTTGCTACATCATCCCACAAATCAGGCGACGACCAGCTGACAAATGACTGTATGATGGCTTTAATAGTTCTGTTAGTTCTCTCTACAAGGCCGTTACTTTCTGGGTTACACACAGTAGTGTCTTTTTTATTCCTAATGGCCGGCATAATTGAGCGGTGAGATGGCTTTCAAAGACTGGATCTTGATAGGAGTGAAGGGAGAATGGGGCACTGTAACGGGAAACTCAATGATCAATGAAAGCTCGAGCGACCATGAGGGAGTCTTGCTGAGTAATGGGAATTGGTTCATACCATTTAGGAAATAATCCACCATAACTAATATGTAGAGATTTCCTTTTCTCGTCGTTATTAGTGGCCCCATGATATCAATGCTCACTCGCTGGTGTGGTCCTGTAGTCCTCATCGGGATTAACGGTGCACGGGGTGTATGCAGAGCCGATTTTATACAGCAACACGTGTTACAACTCTTGCGAAATTCCACTACATCTTCATGTATGGATGGCCACCAAAACATTTGGCGGACTGCATATTCAGTTCTTTATTCTCCTGAGTAACCGAGTTCACGATGCACCTGCCCCACAACACTCTGAACCTTTTCCCGCGAAACTATTAGAAATAACGTGTTACCACCATATATCTTCAGGTTGCTCCATTTGCTGCAGATACGACGAGGTGTTACAGACTGATCTTTTAGCTCCAATATGGATAGCTTATTATTTTCATGTAACTGTCTTTGGTAAATAAGCTGCAGGTCCTGATCTGCTGCTTGCAGAGAAGGCCAATCGGTCTCCAAGGCTCCACTAAGAATAGTATTAATAGTATCTGGGGGCTGAGGTATGCGGGTCAGAGCATCCGCATTTGTATGTCGGCTTCCCGGTCGGTACTCGCACGTAAAATAGAACTCTTGCAACCTCTCCTGCCAGCGCACTATCTGACCTTCTGGATCGCGAAACAAACGAAGCCACTGTAATGCATGATGGTCCGTGCGCATACGAAAAGGCCGACCCAAAAGATAATGACCAAAGTGTTGTAAGAGTTTTACCAACGCCAACAGCTCTCGCCGTGTTGTGGAATATCCTGCTTCGCTCTTGTCTAGTCGTTGACTAGCGTACGGGTACAAGGTATTGAGATTGATATACTACTAGATACGGCAACTTCGACATCCCTTATCAAGCAAGAATTCCTGAAAAAACTAAAAGATAAGACTCAGCGAAAACAATGTTCCTCTGCGCTAATCACAGCAAGTGGTGAACCTTTGAAAGCGTGCTATAAGACGGTTGGAATTAACGATGGATAAGCATCCCTTTCGACATGAATTCTTAGTTTGCCCCACACTGACTTGGGACATGATACTCGGGGTTGATTTCATGTTAAAACATCAGGCTTCTATATACATGGATAGGTCAGAAACGGAAATTGGTGAGGCTACAGTGAACCTACACCATCATGGGATACCGACGAAATCTGTAGCTTAGAAGTTGTACGTCAGGTACAAGGCAATCAAATAATAAGCAAAAATGACCGTCGCGTAACCACTGCTGTACTTCAACAGTTACGCTCTGTGTTCGAGGAGAGTATCTCTGAAAACCGGACGACAACAGTACAACAGTCTATTTTCACAGGAGACCATATGCCCCTTCGGCAGCCACCTCTCAGGGTACTGGTACACTACCGACCGCAACTGGATGCAATGATAAAGTATATGTTAGACAAAAAGATTATAATCCCCTCATTATCCCCCTGGGCATCACCTATTATTTTAGCAAAAAAGAAAGACTACTCTGTACGACTGTGCGTAGATTACCGACATCTTAACACTATAACAAAACGTGATTCTTTTTTGCTTCCGCGGATAGACGCTATGTTAGACGCCATGAAAGGCACACGTTGGTTTTCGACTTTGGACTTAGCATCTGGGTATTGACAAGTGGAAGTTTGACCTCAAGATAAGAAGAAAACAGCATTCAAATATCAAATGGTTTATGTGAATTTCAGGTGATGCCTTTTGGGTTGACGAACGCTCCAGCTACCTTTCAAAGACTGATGCAAACAATCTTACAAGATATGGTACCCCACAAATGCATTATCTTAAATCGAATTTGTTTTGGTCGTATAGTTTACTTTTGTCGTCAACATGACAAACAAAATACAGAAATGTAAAACACACTGAGAAGTGTGACTAAATAGAGGTTAACTGAAATCGACAAATAGAATGACCTAAACTCAAGAGACAGAGGGGTGAAGTAAAAGTGCAGCTACGCAGGGTTGGAAACCGATTTTGAGCCATGTCAACAAATTTCTCTAACCATAGATTACGATTATCGAACATATTTCCGACCTGAAATTCAACCCTTGCTACCAGGATGATTTATTTAAATAATCAATTACTCTATGAACTGAAGTCATATCCTTTTTTGGCAACCTTTAGCTTTATTTTGATCTAATTGATATCACTCCTACCTTCCAGTATCATGGCAAACGGCATACGTAAGAGTTATATATATATATATATATATATATATATATAAAGGCAAACAATGAAAACATTGTCTAAACGCTTTTCATATCGGAAAAACAAAGTCAAATATAGTTTTTGTCAAGATGTTCACTCTCATTTGAATGGTTTAATTATGAGGCTATTTGTTGTCTTCAGAAACAATACGAATAACACAAACTGCTTTAGACAGAAGTGAGGTATAGGAATCGCTTCAAAAGTGATCAGACGTCGATAAGCATGGTGGTTTACAGTGTAATCCAGTACACGTGTTGCGTCCGATTTCGGACTCGTCAGTTGGATGTACATGCATCTCCGAGTTGATGTTCACTCAGGGTCTCGAACCTAGTACCGTTCGCTTCAAAGGCCATCACGTTATCCACTTACCTACTGAGTCCTGATAGCCACTGTGTTGTGCGATGGGATGAAGTTTAAACCCACTTTCTTAGCTAAGTGGATAACGCGATGGCGTTTGAAGCGAATGGTACTGGGTCCGAGTTTCAGAGTGAACATCAACTCTGGAATACAGATACATCCAGCTGGAGTCCCAAATAGGACGAAACGCGCCTCCTGGACTCCACTGCTAGCCACCATCATCTTTGTTTATAATGCTTGTGATTGAAGGCAATATCGAGGCAACTTGCAAAAGACGCGCATATGCCAATAAGAGGCTAATCAATTGAAGTCCTGAGCATCAATGGAAAAATGCAAACAAAAAATACAAAATGAATTTGATTAGAAGTTTGTATACTTAGCCACTGAATTTGATTGGCTGATAGACTGAGTGAGTGATTGTCGTCAAAGAGCACAATGTCAGCAAAACAACCTTCCTGGACGATAATAATTCGTCACCATCATTAGAAAAAACTTATTTATAATACTAAATAATTAATACAACTCACTCTTCTGGATAAGGCACAGTTAAACCAGCAATTGAGGGATTTTTACAGCCCAAAAAGAAAAATGAACACATACAAGCTAAAATGATCAAATTAACCACGAGAACAAATCGGATAGCACCTAGTAAATAAAATGTAAATAAACAAATAGATAAAAACATTTCACTATTATTAAAAGTAAGTGTAACAGACTAATTGTTTACACTAAAAGAACATACGTGTATAGACGATCTTTCAAGATGAATAAATAAACGATGCAAATACTATGTCAATATGTGAAACTGATCTTTGTATAAGAAAAAAGCTAAGCTATACACCACAATCTATTCTTGTGTATTGAATCACTCAATAAAAACTATTATTTATTACCAGTATGGGGATTTGTAAAGATTGTAATATTTTCACAGTTGAATTCGCAAGTCAATCTAAACTAGACCACCATTGAAAACCTGAGACACTGAACGATCGTCTCGTCCTAGTATGGGAATATTCAGTAGTGAACATTCACGACCATACGAAACTTCTTATACCATTCTAATAAAGGGTGCAACCATAACTCAAAACTAAATTAAAGTCAGAATACTTCAAAATTCAGTCAGTAAATTGTAATATATGATTCTTCAACTGATATTAACATTTGTCTATAGTCAATCTACTCTTAAACTATGTAGTATCGTGCAACCTACTACGCAGCAACTAGACATGTTTTATATATACATATTCACATATACATTTGCCCACTTAATATTTCTGCAGACATGTTTACAAAGAAACAAAGGAACAATTAAAGAACTGAAATAATCGAAGTAAAAGTACAATAATATCAGATTAGGAGAACAAGATAAACTAACTCTTCTAGTTAGTTGGTTGTAACCCATGAAGTTGATTAAATGTTAAAAATAAATAAATAAATTCTATGTTTACTGCAAGCACAAACATCAATAACAAATAAACAGAAGTACCTAATTGAAAAAATAGATATTAAAAAAATTATTAAAATATACCTTTAGATTAATAAATTTCTACTCAATTATTGTTTGGATTTTGTTAAGTAGTTCATAATAATAATAATAATAATAATAATAATAATAATAATAATAATAATAGCTATCCTTACTTTAATTTATATCCATTAATTTACATTTACATTAAACAGAAACAAATACTGTATTATAGAGAATTTGGGAAGTAGAAGCGTGTTAATCAATGTTTAAAAGTCATATATTAGTTCGAGAAATTCGTTAAATATTAGTAGAATTACAAATGAGAATAAATTTGAATGATTGAATAATTTTAAAGAAACAGTATGGCATTTAAATACGACTCGAATTGTTTAATCTGAAAAATCAACCATATGATAAATTCATGCAAAAAACTTTCTGATCAACGTAAACCAATATATCTGCTTTGTCTAAAATCGATGATATATATATATATATATATATATATATATATACTAATTGAAGATATGATCAATATCAACCGCTTACTTACCTATACGACGAAATTGAAATCTATTGAGAATAATCCCACCGACTAAAATGCCGAGAGCACCACAGGGTACAATTAGACCACCTAAGACATATATAAAAAGAGATGGAAAGAGATTGAAACTAGTCAAATACACATACATCTTGGACAGAAAATGAAAATCGACGATGTTTAAATACGAGCAAACAACAGAAAGTAGACATTTTCAACTACAAACCGAAGATTGTTTGATAGTGAAGAGGGGTAATGACAAGAAGAAATTAGTGTTAGATAATGATTTCTTGATATGATAGTAATAGTTCAAAGCAATACTGGAAGCGGAATAATTTAGTAAAGTCAACTTTTATCACACTGCGTCAGTAGACAGTAACTTGTTGTTGTGTGCATGTTATTAGTGTTTTTCTTAAAAAATACTTTCGAATAAATTGGAGAGCTGAATAGTAGCACACCAAAAAGAGTTCAAAATAAGTAATATTCTTATTCGACTAATTGATTAAAATAATGTAATACGATTTGATAGTACAATGTACAAGACTCAACAAACTCAAGATTGAAATATGAATAATAATACAAACATTAACAGTCACATACACAAACGCAAAAACATGTGGAAATAATGAAGAGAACAATGAACTAGAAAATGAAAATATTAAAAAAAAAGGACAACCACAAAACAAGCATTAAAATATAAACTGACCAAGATTCGAAAAGAAAGATAACTGAATCACAGGTATAGTTACCCAACAACAAGTAATCATTGGTTGACAAAAGTATATAGGATATCCGGCCAGTGACATTTCTTCCAAACAATATCAGGACGAATTAATATTTTAGAGAGGGCGCACTAACAAACCAGTGAATGTGGGTTTATGTTATGCTCATAGATGTAAACTTACAGGCTGACACCGAGCAATAAGCATAACCGCTAGTTGGAGACACTGGGTAAAATTAAGTTATGTCTGTTGCATTATCTTCTTCTAGCATCTGAATGCTCTGGTACGGACGAGAGTGTAGAGTATATTCGGTCTAACGAAATACCATCATGTGGTCACCATTTATTGCCAATGTCGTGGAAGTCCTACTCACTGTTTTATTGAAGACGGAGTGTTGTTTAGCAAGGCAAAAGTCCAGCCCCTAAGATAGAGTCGGTGGACACAGAAGATTCACCTGAAAGTTATAAAACCCTGATTTTATATCAATGGCACAGAATCCTGAGGGATTTATCGGCGTATAAGCACGTCTTTAGTCATCGTTTACCATGGTGGCGCTTCTCTTAACCATGCTCTACTGCCTTGTGGATTAAGCTTGTAGACCGAAGGTCCCAGTGAAGAACGCTTACTTCGGTATGGTTACCCGGGCAGTGTCCTAGCCCAAACACAAATGCAAAGATGAATACTAACGAAAATGAATTTTCTTACCCTCATTATCAGCATTTGATTACATACAAATTTATTCCCTTTTCAATTCCGTTACTTCTCAATTCACGCAACAATGGGGATTATCTCAGAGCAGATAGCGGTGACCGTTTCTTGTAGTCTTGTGTAGACAACAACTTGTTTCTACTCAGCACCACTTTCTAGGACAACCATCCCCGAAATGCTAGCCGGGGGTCCACCTCTTCGATTTAACCCTAGAATCAAATCGATCACATAGTGATCAGCTGCAGATAGAATAACTGTATATAATACCGTCAATCTCTGGAGAAATTATCTGAACCACGATCAAGGTTAGTTTTGTGCCAAGCTTATCTTGTATTTCAGTGAATAGCAAACGTCTTGTTTTAAAGGGGATTGATATAAACATAATGATTGTAGCTTCTGGTCTAACCAAACATCAAACCGAATTAGGTTTCAAGCTTGTAGTCAGCCAGCCATGAAGTGTAGACAAGAATGGAATGAGTTTTTCTGACCCCATGAAAACGGTGGTTCACGTCTCTTAGGGCTTTGTGGAACATCCAGCCTAAAGCACTGGGTTCTTGAAGAGACCTCTTGGAAGCATGTCGATTTACTCCGGTGAACCATAAGTTTACTAATAAACAGATAAGTACATAAGGAAATTGTACAAAGTATGCGTAAGGATGGAGAAATCTGGTCAGGGTGTGCCATTGAGTTTGAAACAGCTGCTTCATCTGGAAACTGGAGCAGAATATTACAACTTATTCCGGCCGCCGCCATCGAGAAGCGTGGTGTATGTGAAACAACTTCTGAGGTTGATGGAACATCAGTCAAAGATATCTAAAGGTATTTAGAACGATAGGCAGCTTTTCGAGGAAACGTTTACTTAGCCTGGTGATCCGGGAACATTGATGAGACTGTCTTGGTATCCCTAGCATATGTCAACTGATTCAGCTAAAAAGTGGAGGTCCGCACGTAACTCCAACTTCTGTAGCGCCGTAAATCACTAGGCCCAGACAACTTATCTCCGGCTCTTTCTAAATATGGTGGCGAAATTATGGACAGAAGACTGACCAAAACTTTTGGATAAGTTTTAAAAATAGAACATTTCATAACATTTTGAAATGAAGCAAAGTTCGTCCCTATTTTTAATAGGGTTTTATGTCATCTATGCAATAACTATTGAAGGAGTAAGTCTTTTTCCGATTTCACCCAGATTATTGGCCACTACCATACTTCACAAAACACAAGAAAGAATGACTTGTGAGGAGTATGTTAGTTTTCACTCTGGTCATGTATTAGTTTATCATATATTCACACTACGCCAAGTGTTACAGCACTGTCAAACCTTAATGCAGGGCAACAGTCATAGTGTTTCTTAAAATCAGGACCCCCTTCTACTCGTTGGGCAAGACTGTTCTCTGGGATTGTCTGTTGAAGAAAAGTGTACCTGTGAAGTTCCCTAACGTCTAAGAGGCTCGGTGCACAAGCATCTCAGGTAGAGTAAGGGCAAACAACCACCTCTATCCTTTGTTCCATTCAAGCAGTAAAGTTAGGTAGGGTTGCCCAATCTCGCTATTCCTCCATGATTTCCCACGAATGATATTCTGAAAACAGCTATGATGACAGCAGGTGGCGGTAGTCTATGGTGTGGATCCGTTGCACGAAGAAAGACTTTCGACCTTGAGAGCGTGGATAATACTGTTTTATTGTGTGATAAAGCTATGCAAATTGTACTTAATTAAATGAAGACTTGAGTCCGTAACTATGCCATATACATTCTAAGAGCAAATTACTTATGCGAGATCGACAGGAGTTTACGCCTACACTCTTTATGGTGAGCCATTTAAAGCAGTCGGGAAGTTCATTTATATGGGTATTTGCGCGAGTGATGAGATCAATCTGTGCGGTGGAAACCAAAGCAGCTTATCCCATCTTAAGTCATATCCGACATCATCTTGATGTTTTTCTGGTTGCAAAGTCTTGCGTTTACAATGCGCCAGTGAAGAGTAGTCCTGGTCTACTCTTGTAAACATGGAGTCTTTGAGTCGAGGATGCTCGGCGAATCTCTGTCTTGTCTGCGAAAAATGGCAATACCATGTTAGTTGTGTTGAGATCTGGGGATATGTATTAGGGTACAATGGCAATAAATGGATTACTGGTTATATCTTAGAACATTGGCATCAGTGACAAGGATATGTGTTACGAACGCCATCCCAGCGGCTTCCACATCATGTATATTTTGGTGATGCTGGGACGAAGCGAAAAAGCGGAGAGGTTGTCAGCCTATGACCTGGCACTGTGGTACGAAAGAAGGCTGTATAAGACTGTCATTTTTCTGTCCATCAAAATTAAGTGGCTAGGGTTTGAGAGATAGTACAGCTCAGTGGCTTAAGACACTATCAGGTACACATTTGTGTACCAGATGTTAACAGAAATGATGATTGACTATCACACAAAGAAATTTAGTTTTCAATAACATACATCTATATCTAGCTAGCACGAAATGTAAAGCTAACGTTAAAATAGTTGGTAGTACTGTAACCGATACATTAGATAAATAAAAATTTAGCATAATTTCAATAAAAGGAATGGTAGCTGAGCAGTTGTTAAGACGTTCAACTTTTACACATTAGGTCATGGGGTTCAAGCCCCACCCCACATACTTCGGTTTGAGTAGTCAGTTAGTATCAGTACCTATTACAACTTAAGTATGGATCGAAACCAAGTACACTAATCAGTACCTGGAAAATGATTCAATTTCAGTAGGTAAAACCTATAGTTGAAATGAAAATAATATGGACTAATAAATTCAGGAGTCAATTAAGTATGATTTCATGTATTTATTGTTGAGATACAAGTATGATTCAATCGTTAAATATAGTACATTGAACGAACATTTTTAGAATAAATGAGCTTAAACCCATGAGATTAGATGAATAAAAAGTGAATCCCTTAAAACAGTGAATTATTGTTCCGTTATAATTCCTAAAATAAAGAATCATTATCATATAATAAAAATCAGAAAATCAAAATAAGTCACAGAACAATGAGTCAAGAATTCCACTAAAAAACCATTAGAATATGGAGTTAAAAGAGTGAGAATTTCCTCCCATATTCCACTGTACGCACAGTTAGATATTATTACCTGTAGTTCATTCAACAACAGATGTCAGTTATAGTCTAATGCATGAAATACTTAAAAGTGATTACTGGGCTAAAACAACGAATAGAAGTAGGTCAAACGAAAAACATTGATTAAAAAGACAAAATAACTGAAAAGCAATGACCATGGCAGGAACAGTACATTCATTCATAATTTTTTTTAATATAAAAAAGGAGGTACAGAGAAGAAAAAACAAGAGCGCAATCACAAAGTACTCACATAATAATATGATATTTAAATGCAGAATACTCTAAACTATTGATTCGTTTACAATCCTATGCTAAAAATCACTGGATCATGAGTTCCGACTAACAATGTTTGTTTTTATCTTGACAACTAGTATTCCCTATATGTTTGGTATTTGGTTGTCTCACGTGACCACAGATTTGAATTTATACCTTATCAAAGCGTAATATAACATGATATACAAGTCTTATCATGTTGCGATTCAAATTAATATAAGTAGTTAAGAACGTTAAGAATTGAAAATAACACACTACTCAATTTATTTATTTATTATTTATTTTAACACATAGGTATTGGTACAAGGAGGCACCAAATACATATGCGCCACACAGATCTCAATTGATTTGTGTGAGGGCTGTGATACTGCCCGGGTGCAGGTGGTTTTCTTAGGAGGCCACACCCCGAGCCTTCGACCTGAACGTCTGACCCACAAGGCAGTGGAGCATCGTAAGGAGATGCAGTCCCATGGTAGCCGGTGACCAACGATTGGTTCATACGCCATTTGTTCCTTCAGGATATTGGAGCCAATGTGCACCATTGATTTGGGATCCGGTTATAGCGCCGGACATTCGCTTTTCGTCCTCTCATTTTCGTAAACAATACCGCCGCCACGAGAAGGCAGTGAGTAGGACTTCCCTGGCAGAGGCTATATACGCGTGGCCATGTGAGAGCATTTCGAGAGGGAGAGCGGACTCTCCAAACTCTCGGCCGTATCAGGGCATTTGGAGACACTCAATCAAACGTATGACGACCAGATTGATAATCTACACAAAACATGTGTACTTGTCTGTAAACGTTAGGCAAGAAAATCACCTTGGTTATTATCTTTGTATACAAAACTTAGTTTGAATACGAAGGCTTTATTAACAAGTGTAATTAACTATTTGGTAATCGATTATCCTATTTATTTCAGATCGATTCTGATTGAGGAAGGTGGTAATTGAGTGACTAGTGTGGCTAGTTGCGTAATTACGTGCTTACACTATCATCGGTAAAAACCTTGCTGATTGAAATGATATCAATACACCTGATTAGAAACTGTATATCAAAGTTTATTCGGAAGAGCATAAAGGATATGAAGTTCGGATTATGCCCCGAAAGAATTTCATTGTAACATCAACTATCATTTCTGAATGAAAATTTCAGTGTGATAATCAAAGATGTCTCAAACAGTGAGACTGGAAATCGATGTTTTTAATAATTAATTACGTTCAAGAATAACAGGTAACTACAACCACGAATTATCTCTACACTATAAAAAATAAACACATATAAACACCTCTTCACCTGTCTGCTGCATTTTTAGTGATGTCCCTTTTTATTCATCTCTTTCGGATGAACTTCAGTACGATTTCGAATTATTATATCTGTCTATCGTTCGCATGACAACAAACAGACCTTAGGAGTAGATGTTTAGTGGTAGAGTGGTTTTTTACAAAATTATGATTGATTGCCATAAAGCAGAAAGGACTTATAACGACATAGACAGAGAAGCTACGAAAAAATACCAAGAGGTGGATAAAGGTAGCATAAGTTCAGAATAGTAAAATATTCATTTATTCGAGGACCACAGAACTGGATGTAAGACATCATCTAAAGGGTTCACCTAAGACCCCAAGTTAAACTACACGACTACTGACACAGGTTATTCATCTCTGTTTAGCATATGACAACTCAGAAAAATAGTTAATGACCTGGTGATAATAATTATTTCGCCATATTCATTTTCTGATTTTTTCTAACGCTGTATGAACGAGGCTAGTTTTGGCGATACAAACAATTTGTGTCATGTCCCAACATGACTTAAAACAACTGACTGATGTAGTTCATAACTCAAATTTGTAAGCAAACCAAAACCTACAACCTTACTTGTTTTTTTTAGACTTTACATAGTTTGCTTTATTCCTAACCTGATGTATTAATATTCAATCAGTTGGTTGTACTTTATTTTTAAAAAAAACCTGAGCAACATTATCTGAACAAACTGCAAAATACTAATTTCAATAACTGATGTATCCATTTACGAGAAAAAGGTAAATATCTAGTAAGAGTTTAGTACTATGCCCATTACTAACTAATAATACAGTAAATTCAATTATGTAGGCTATTATCATCCATTATCATTTACATCATTCGTATATTCAGTCTAGTTATGATTTTGTTTTCCCTGTATATATATATATATATATATATATATATATATATATATATATATATATATATATATATAATGGAAATAAATTAAACAACTATTTGCTACCTACCAGCTATTAAACTGCTTGACGATTTATTAATTCGAAATCCCATTTCTAAATATTTTGGTAAAAATGATGCAAATCCAACAACGATAAACATTTCTGAACATATACAAAAACAAGCCATAATGTAAATTTTATTTCGAATAAGTGAACACACAACAGTAGTAAAATCTAGAAAATCGTGAAAAAAAACAAAGAGGAAACAATTTTTTAGAAAATAATAAGTAGACAGTTTATATCATGAAATGACAAATTAGACAACTAATAAGACTATGGATTACTGAATAGTGGTTTCATCTTTGCATGGAACTCTTCAGCATTATATGCCAAAAATCGGCAACGGAATAACTAATAAAGGGACTCAACAATTGAGTGCACAATCACAATTGCATTTTCTTTCTTTTCTATTAATATTACCAGAGTGTAGAATGGAAGAAATGTGGTTGAAATTTTCATACAGTACAGTTTAACGGCATGCAATGATGATTTGAAGATCATTGAAGGAGTAAATGAAATTATAACTTCAAACATCGGTATATTTTTCGTCTGTTAAGAAAGTTAACAGATACATCTGTTAATATTTCATCATAAAAGTTCCTCCTGTAAAGTTTTCCATTAAAATAGGCATCAACTGAGACGAGAATATTATATAAACTAGTGATTCAATAACTTAATTAAACGTAATACCCATCCCGTAGAAAACTAACTCGCTAAAAAAAACGCTAACCAGAAAAAATTATTCAAACCATTTAAACTCTGCCCTGGGAGTCAGGAGGTCTTCGTTTAGAAGAATTATGACGCCTCATGATGAAAGCCGAGTTTCTTCGGAAGTCACGAGGCCGATGCCCCTTCTGACAACCAGAGCAACCATTTATTTAGGTACATGGAATGCTCGCACAATGTGGGAGACTGGGAGAGTTTTCCAAATTGCTGCAGAAATGAGGAGATACAATTTAGAGGTGCTTGGGATCAGTGAAACACATTGGACGCAAGTTGGACAACAACGACTAGCTTCAGGGGAGCTGCTGTTATACTCCGGACATGAACAAGAAAATGCCCCACATACACAAGGAGTTGCATTGATGCTGTCCAAACAAGCACAAAATGCACTTATAGGATGGGAATCTCATGGACCAAGGATCATCAAAGCCTCCTTCAAAACAAAGAAAACGGGGATTACAATGAACGTCATCCAATGCTACGCGCCTACCAATGACTACAATGAAGACGCTAAAGATCAATTCTACGATAGGCTGCAGTCAATCGTCGAGAAGTGCCCAACAAAAGACCTGACTATTCTGATGGGAGACCTAAATGCCAAGGATGGAATCGACAACACCGGATATGAAGAGATCATGGGACGACACGAACTCGGAGAAACGAACGAAAATGGTGAGAGATTTGTAAATCTATGTGCCTTCAATAAACTGGTCATAGACGGCACTATATTCCCACATAAACGCATACACAAAACCACATGGACTTCACCGGATCACACCACACAGAACCAAATCTACCATATCTGCACCAACAAAAGGTTCAGGAGGACGATGGAGGACGTGAGAACCAAGAGAGGAGCTGATATAGCATCAGATCATCACTTGCTGGTCGCCAAGATGAAATTGAAACTCAAGAGGCACTGGACAACGGGGAGGACAATATCACAAAAATTTAATACGGCTCTTCTTCGGGATAATGACAAACTCAATAAATTCAAGATAACCCTCAGCAATAAGTTCCAAGCCTTTCATGATCTACTCAATGGAGAAGGAACTACTATGGAGAGCAACTGGAAAGAGATAAAAGAGGCAATCACTTCAACATGTCATGAGGTTCTGGGCCAAAAGAAGCACGATCACAAGGATTAGATCACGGTTGATATACTGGATAAGATTCAAGAAAGGAGGAACAAGAAGGCAGCAATCAATACCAGCCGAACAAGAGCAGAAAAAACCAAGGCACAGGCTGAATACACAGAAGTAAACAAGCAAGTGAAGAGGAGCATCAGAACCGACAAACGTGGAAGATTTAGCAATGACGGCGGAAAAGGCTGCAAGAGAAGGAAACATGAGACAATTGTATGACACAACAAAGAAACTCTCCGGAAATCACCGTAAACCAGAACGACCAGTGAAAAGCAAGGAAGGCAAGATAATCACCAACATTGAAGAACAACGAAACAGGTGGGTAGAACACTTCAAAGAACTCTTGAATCGACCAGCCCCACTGAACCCACCCAACATCGAAGCAGCACTCACGGACCTCCCAATTGATGTTGGCGCACCGACAATTGAAGAAATCAGCATGGCTATCAGACAAATCAAGAGTGGCAAAGCAGCAGGACTAGACAGCATTCCAGCAGAGGCACTGAAAGCAGACGTAGCGGCAACTGCAAGGATACTCCAAACTCTCTTCAAAAAGATCTGGGATGAGGAACAGGTACCAAAAGACTGGAAAGAAGGACTTCTAGTCAAAATACCAAAGAAAGGCGATCTCAGCAACTGTGACAACTACAGGGGAATCACTCTTCTTTCAATACCGGGAAAAGTCTTCAACAGGGTATTGTTAAACAGGATGAAGGACTCCGTAGACGCCCAACTTCGAGACCAACAGGCAGGATTCCGTAAGGATAGATCGTGCACAGACCAAATCGCAACTCTACGGATCATTGTGGAACAATCAATTGAATGGAATTCATCACTCTATATCAACTTCATCGACTACGAAAAAGCATTTGATAGCGTGGACAGAACAACCCTATGGAAGCTTCTTCGACACTACGGCGTGCCTCAGAAGATAGCCAATATCATACAGAATTCCTATGATGGATTAAACTGCAAAATCGTGCATGGAGGACAGTTGACAAAGTCGTTCGAAGTAAAGACCGGTGTCAGGCAAGGTTGCTTACTCTCACCCTTTCTCTTTCTCCTGGTGATCGACTGGATCATGAAGACATCAACATCTGAAGGGAAGCACGGGATACAGTGGATAGCTAGGATGCAGTTGGATGATCTAGACTTCGCAGATGATCTGGCTCTTCTATCGCACACACAACAACAAATGCAGGAGAAGACAACCAGTGTAGCTGCAGCCTCAGCAGCAATAGGTCTCAATATACACAAAGGGAAAAGCAAGATTCTTCGATACAACACAACATGTACCAATCCAATCACAATTGACGGAGAAGCTTTGGAAGATGTAAAAACCTTTACATATTTGGGCAGTATCATCGATGAACACGGTGGATCTGATGCAGATGTGAAGGCACGGATTGGCAAAGCAAGAGCGGCATATCTACAACTGAAGAATATCTGGGACTCAAAACAATTAGCAACCAACACCAAAGTCAGAATTTTCAATACAAATGTCAAGACAGTTCTACTGTATGGCGCGGAAACCTGGAGAACTACGAAATCCATCGTCCAAAAGATACAGGTGTTTATTAACAGTTGTCTACGCAAAATACTTCGGATCCGTTGGCCGGACACTATTAGCAACAACCTACTGTGGGAGAGAACAAATCAGATCCCAGTGGAGGAAGAAATCAGGAAGAAGCGCTGGAAGTGGATAGGACACACATTGAGGAAAGCACCGAACTGCGTCACAAGACAAGCCCTCATATGGAACCCTCAAGGTCGAAGGAAGAGAGGAAGACCAAAGAATACATTACGCCGAGAAATGGAGATAGATATGAGAAAAATGAACAAGAATTGGATGGAACTTGAAAAGAAGGCCCAGGACAGAGTGGGTTGGAGAATGCTGGTCGGCGGCCTATGCTCCATTGGGAGTAACAGGCGTAAGTAAGTAAGTAAGTAATACTCATATGGAAATAGCCCTGATAAATATACGTGTAATGAATAAAACTCACATTTGTTGGATCAATTATTTACTCATTTATCCAAACTACACACATTAAGGTATATTGTTTTGGTAATTACTGATTGCATAATAAGTACAAAATAACTTAAACTTGAATAAAGTCAGGATTGTATAGCCAATGTATTTTACTAAATGAGAAATAATAATAAACTGTGTAATAAGTATGAGTACTCGGTTTTGAACATGACATTATTATGTGTAAGGCCTAGTGATACAACCCGACCGTCTAACTCATCATAGATGAAGAGAATAACAAAGTCACTAATTTAGATAATAAGTTGTGGGTTTTTAAGTCAGTCTTACGCTTTAATATACACTCACAACAATTTTAAGCAGAAACGGATGGATGATTTCAGCAAATCTATATATTTTAAAAACTAATAAATGAAATAAATGTCTTCCAATATATTAACGCTGTGGAGTTAAAATTATAAACCTACAATGTTTTCCAAACACTAAGCAATTAAAAAAGGTAATTGATTACTGAGAAATAGTAAACGTAAGATTATAGTCTTACCACTCCATGTATTCTTTGAATCAAGCGGTTGACTTTGAAAATGAGGATTTGAGCTTCGACTTTTTCGTTGACTTCGTCGTGAAGAAGAAAAATCTGACCAAGGACTCTAAGAAAAATCCGTAAAACGAATTAAGTAAAATTGAGTATTATTGATAAAAGCCTAAGGATATACATAATAGTATGTAGTCGAATGCGGTATTTCATTTTGGTTATGGCTAATTTCAATAAATGAATTCAACATAATTTTCGTTTACCAAGCCATTAAGATTTATACAAATTAAAAAAGAAATCTTGGGAAGTTACATGACTTTCTTATATTCACGCTTCATATATGATTATAAAATGGGAACCTAAGAGAGTAGTTCACTAGATTTATTTTGAGAAGTAGTCAGAATCATAATAGCTTACTGTGTACGAATAAATTACAACCACATATAGAATAGTTCAATATCTGACAAAAGACGTAATGGACGATATTGAGATGAAGCATCCGCTCAACAAATAAGAAAGAAGAAAACACACCATAGGAACAAAAATGTATATAATAAGCTATATGAGATAATAGGTATTGGAAGAAATCTTCCACACCTACTCAGACGTGGTTTTAGATCATAAAGAGTCAGAATTAGTGAAGTTGGAAATCAAGTTTAACGTAGAAAATTTAAGTCAATTCTTTTAGACAGTGTTTTGAAAAACCAATATTATCGCCGTTATTTTCAATATAATCACGAACGAAACAGATGCTCTCTATAAAAGGCACATTTGTGAAGATGAAAGCAACATCCAAAATCCACTCTTTTCCCAGAAACCTTGACCTTGATGACTGGATCAATAAAAGCAAATATCAGTCAGTTAGTCAGCTACAAAGCAGGACCAGGCACATATATGCATCTATCCAAGTTGCCATACCGCATTAGCACAGCAAGATGAACACCAGATTCATAGGAGTGGTTAATTCAATGATGATAATATATAAAAGAAAGATTGCATATAAGGGTATAGTACAGGAAGAAAGAAATAGTTGGTAGAAAATAATTTTAATCTCATAGTTTAAGGTAAAACAGAGAGAGTATACACCTAGCAAATGAGTCGAGAATTTGTTTACTGACCGTATTTTTGATTGACTGGAGAATCTCTACCAACCAAGTCGGAATTTGTGGTGAGTCGAAATAGTGAGTAATTCATATTCATTATGGACCAAAGGGGTGCATCTTTCTTAGGTATTTTCATACGTCCTTACGCTCGTGGAACAGTAGAGCTTCTCAATCTTAAGTGTTCAAATATATAACTACTGATAACTGATTCATCTTTCATCTTTTTCAAGATTTTTGTCGATTTCTCATTAACATGATCAGTTATATCTTTGTTGGTAATTGCTCTGAAGAATTTATTTATATCAGTTATGAAAGAGGATAATTTATTAATGCAATCATCATGACGTTTCCTAAAAGATCAATCAATTGAGATGTTTGATAACCGTACGAGTGTATCTCAAATGATGATGGAGAATCAGTTTTTCAGATTAAATACTGGTATAAGTTAGGAGGACAGTAATTTCTGAAAGTACCGAGTCACAAGATAGCGTTGGAAATTGAATTAAAAAAAGACTTGAGGTGATAGAGATGTGTGACTTGAAGACAAAATAAGGATTATAGTTTACCATTATTATTAGTAGCATTATGCATCTGTTGAAATTCTTAAACTTCTTACTCTTTATCCTCTAACTCTCATAGCAACAGTTTGTTTTATTTTTACTGCAAGCCATTATCATCTTTTTTATTACCATTACCGGCTGTGCCAAATTTCTTAAATTATTTTAGACAGAAGCGAAAAAAATAATACAAAACTGATTGCAGGCAAAAGCATTGAAATGGGTCTGTAAACAGCAAGTGGAAAAATCTCTTCATTAATTATCTAAACAAATAAGATTATTTTGAGAGAAAAAAACAGCCAGACTAAAAAGACGAAGTGTGAGTGTGCTGCAACACAAATATGACCTTTATTTGTTGAAAATAATCAGTAATTCGAAAAAATTGAAAACAAGCTATTTTAAAGAGCCTATTAAAAAAATATTAGGCTACTATTACTATTACTTCTACTTGTACTAAATAGTATTGACTAGACATCTTTTAACTGTTAATATAATGTTTTACCAGAAGAATTCAAAACAAAACTCTAGTGGTATGTTCAATTAACATGAGAAGCAGAAATACAACAGTTATTCATTGAATATGCCTAGCCACCATCCATCTTTGCTTATAATGCTTGCGACTAAAGGCAACATCAAGGCGTATGCCGATAAGAGACTGATCAATTTCAATCCTAAACATCAATGGGAAGATACAAACGATCAATATAAAATGAATTTTATAACAATTATAAACAGTTTAGTCGGATCTATACTTCTGAATATCATGTATTAAGTAATTTATAATCTACTAAATTGTTAGCAGTGTAATTATACTATCAAGAAGGAAAAAATGTTATGAATTCAATATGGAAGAATTTTGTAAAAGAGATCTAAATGAGGATATCAAACCATAGATATGACAAGATAAGATCATAACAACAAACCATAATTCCGAACTGTCATGAAATATTTAACCACCAACATATACTACTTCATAGCTAGTTGTACAACTCAGTATTTTTATCGTAAATCACATTGTTATTTTCTGGACTGAAACAGTTAGCAACTATCATTATCACAGTAGTCTGTTGTGTCATAACAGATTTCACGAGACAAAGAGACGTTTATTATTAAGCATGTAGAGCAATTACATAACTAATTAAGTATGTTTGATTATCTTAGACATTAATTTATCATTCTTTGTTTATGAACAAATTGATGCGATCTATCTTGTATACTTAATGAACAAAATAATATCTAAAGGAATGTCTCTCATAATTCTGATTTTACTGTTTTTAGCTAGCTGGTTACTAATGAGTTTGTAGGTGTTATTAACAAAGTTTAACTTGATAATTTCAAATAAATTAAGAGTTAGGTATATTGAACCCTCCCCCAAATGCACTGGTATGGCCGAGATTGGAGAGAGTCAGCTCTCCCTCTCGAAATGCTCCCACATTGCCACGCGTACACAGCCACTGCCAGGGAATTTTTATTCACTGACTTCTCTCAGCGAGTGTTGTTTACGAAATTGAGAAGACGAAATCAAATATCCAGTGCTTTAACAAGGTTGGTGGACATGGAGGGTCCATTTAGGGGAGTCGGAAAATCCTGATTCCAAACCAATGGTCACATGGGCTCCGGTACCCTGAGGTAACAAATGGTGTATGAACCAACCGTTGGTCACCGGCTGCCATGTGACTGCATCTCCTTACGATGCTCTACTACCTTTTGGACCAGACCTTTATGTCGAAGGCTCCGGGTGTGGCCCCCCAAGAAAGCCACCTGCTTCGGTCTGGGCACCCGGGCAGTATCACAGCCCATACACGAATCAAGTGACTTGTGTGGTGCATATGTGTTAGGTGCCCCTTTGTACCAATATTCACGTGTTCAAATAAATAAATGACATTACAAATATACATTATTTTTATTAATAACTGGTTACTACTTTAGAAATTACTTACAGTTTGAAGTGTTGTTGTTTTACTGGTAAGAGCCCTAAACTTATAACCATCAGACAACAACTTTAATTTCATTTAAGTAAACAGATAATACGCATCGCTAGCCTCTGTACAAAAACTCTGATTTAAAGCCGAGTGTATACGATTTTTCTTCAAAGTAGTTAATGAATTACAAAATTTAGCATCAAACACAATAATTTTAATACAATCTATTCAACATTCATAAAGTACCATCAACGATAATCCCTTCAAAAAATTAATATAATTCCATTACTTTTCACATATATATTATACACCGACTAATACCTCAAGTTTGACTAAACTTCAAAATAACCTATGAAGTGATTTATTTATATATATTTTACAACATCATCTATAGGCGCGAAGCAATAAATGACCGAGTGAATTAATTATCCTCTCATAAATCAGAATGAAATGATTTTATTTTCGTTTTAATTACTAACATGCTCATTATGAGTAAGTAAATAATTCATTATTTCCGGGGGGATTTACAGAGAACAGCTTTGGATGTAAACACTTACATGATTGGAAATAAATTAGGAGGAAATGTAGGAAATAAATATTCTATTCATTATTAATGTAATTGAGTGAACAATAAAATGTTGAATTATAAACAGTACTAAATTTATTTATGTATAACAAGCTTGTTATTCAAGCTGTAAGGAGAAAAAATATTGCAGACTGCCTGAACAAGTGGGTAGAATTTCAAGTGCTTTCGCTGAAATAGGAAGCTACATTTTAAAAATATTAATGTAGTTATAGAAAGCTGTATAGGTTATATTTTGTACGTAAATGAACATTGAATATCAATACTGGATGAAAAGTTCAAAACAGAATCAATTAAGTGGTTTTTTATAGAACCTGTTATCCACTATACAACAAGTGAACATCACCTCAAACAAACCACTTATTACATGTTAATAAATCATTAAAATTAAAATATTACATAATTTTACCCTCAGAACGTGTTAACAACGATGTCCCGACCGTAGCTACTACCTAGACGTGGTGGTCGGGCTTGCCTATCGTGATGGCTCAACCGAGATATATTGGCTGGAACACATGTTCCTGCAGGTTCTACCATGCCAGGCAGGTCGATTGGAGAACGGTAAGACTAAAACCAGCAACTCAAGGTCTGAGGGCGAAGTCGTACTTCTGACTGTAAAGAGGTGTGACAGCAGTAAGGTGTTTTCATTTGACAAACAGCATCTGCAGCGATGCTGCCTTCTCACAAGGAAGGGAGGGGTTACAAAAGGTTGACCCTAAAAATGTCACACCTCACTTTACCCCACGGATTTCCGTCTCCGGCGGTAAGACCCTTTGAAGAACGGAGCTAACACATTAAAAATCTCCCACAAAAAGGCCGTGCGCGGCCGGCCGCAAGCAATTGTCCCTTTGGCTCTGCCGTCACACTCTCAGGTCGTTAAGACCAACAATAATCCGATTTCCTTTTTAGGTTTCTCAAGAAATACCGCTCCACGGTGTGGGCAATTCGGAAGTGACATCAGCCCTCATACCCGTAACAGCACACGAAACCAATTTGGTCACATTCAAATCCTTCCTACACCTCCTAATAACTCTCTTATCTCCAGGACTAACCCTTCTCACGTCCCTATATCACCTCGCCCCACTAGTGCAAACGATTTGAGTACGCGGAATGTTATTCCTGGTCTCCTGAAACCACGCTCCAAACTACACGTAGGAGCTTTCAACGTCCGAACACTGTGCCAAATAGGACAACAGGCTTCCTTAGCTAAGACTTTAGAATCTCGCTCCATCGATGTGTGCTGCGTCTCCGAAACGCGCACACAGGATCCGAGTAGTGTCATTCATTTGACCGCACCATGTCAAAGTAACGAACCAACTCGATTGACGCTTCGTGTATCTGGAAGCCCTGATGCTGCATCCCGTGGCCTCGCTGGCGTAGGTATAGCATTGAGTGCTAGGGCAGAACTCTTAGACTGGATCCCAGTAGACAGTCGTTTGTGGGCCGTCCGACTAAACGGAACAGTAAGGAATCTGAAAGATAGAGACACCCGTTGCCTCTTCATCGTCTCTGCCTACTCTCCCACTGACTGCAGCTCAGATGATGTAAAAGATGAGTTTTACAGAAAGCTTTCCGACCTTCTCCGGATGCTAGGCGTTCAGATGTAGTAATAGTGGCTGGGGACTTTAATGCTCAAGTAGGTAAACTAAGTGAAAGGGAAAGACACCTAGGTGGATCTTATGGTGTCGTGGCTCAAAGAACAGATAACGGCGACCGTCTGTTGCAGCTACGCTCAGATAACCGCCTGTTTCTTGCAAACACTTACTTTAAGCATAAGGAAACACATTTTTTGACATGGCAACCCCCGAATTCGTCCCATCGCTGGATCCAAATAGATCACATCACTATCAGCCACCGATGGAGGGGCTCGATAGAAGACTGTCGCTCATTCTGGAGCACATGCTTAGACTCAGATCATGCTCTAGTGCGAGCGCGTATTTGTCTACGTCTTACTGGATGTAGGAAAGATGCTACAAGGAAACCCCTTAGGATCCTACTTAATGATAGTCAAGCTAAGAGTATATTTCAAGAACGACTAGAAAAACAGTTAGGCAGCCATGTAAGTGATGCCCACCCCGAGGCAGCATGAAATAACATCCGAAAAGCTGTAGAAACAGCAGTGATGTCTGCAAGTACGGTAAACCATAAGGTTAGGAAGAAACACTGGATCTCAGCAGCATCTACCGCACTGATAGATGCTCGAAAACTCATTCCTTCTGGCTCTGAACATAACGAAGAGCGAAGTCAGCTTAAGCGTAAGCAAATTAATGTAAGTCCTCCGACTCCTGACGAGGTTGAAAAAGCTATAGAAAATCTGAAGCGAGGGAGAGCAGCAGGCCCTGACAGGTTTACTCCTGAGATTTTTAAGGATGGCGGTCCAGTATTAGCAGCGAGATTGATTGAGGTCTTAGGTAGAATCTGGGAACTGGACGTAATCCCATCTGACTGGTCTCAATCACTGATTGTGCCAGTCTGTTAAAAAGGACAAAAGAACTATTGTGACAATCACAGAGGAATTAGTTTGACTATTATAGTGTCTAAAATATTAACTTCAATATTACTTCGACGTCTAACCGAAGCTCGTGAAGAGCAGACTAGAGAAAACCAGGTTGGTTTTCGACCTGGACGTGGTTGTATAGACCAAATATTCACACTACGTCAAGTCGTAAAACATAGACACACATTCAGACGCCCCACAATAGTCGTATTTCTCGACCTGGTCGAGTGAGAGCTTATGGTGAACTGTCATCAGAATTGATTACCTCAAGTGGTGTTCGTCAGGGCTGTCCACTCTCTCCATTCTTGTTTAACTTTATTGTTGACGTCCTTTTAGAGATGACACTTTCCTCATCTGAATTTCCAGGAGTTGAACTTCTACGGGGAGATCCACTTGTTGACTTAGAATATGCCGATGACGTAGTTCAATTTGGTGAAGACGCTGACAAAATGCCGAGTCTGCTGACCACTCTAAGCAACAATGCAAGCATGTTCGGCATGCGATTTTCTCCCTCGAAATGCAAAATGTTGCTTCAGGATTGGGTTGCGTCGTCACCCGAACTAGTGATAGGGAGTGAAGTAGTTCAGCGTGTCGACCGCTTCACTTATCTCGGAAGTCTCATCAGCCCTTGTGGTCTGGCATGTGACGAAATCTCAGCACGGATACAAAAGGCTCGACTAGCTTTTGCCAACGTGCGTCATTTGTGGCGTAGGCGAGATATCCGTCTATCAACCAAAGGACGTGTTTACTGCGCAGCAGTTCGTTCCGTCCTACTTTATTGCAGTGAAACATGGCCGATAAGAGTAGAGGATATTCGTAGGTTACTAGTATTTGACCATAGGTGTCTTCGAAACATCGCTCGTATATCCTGAGACCACCGAGTAAGTAACTCAGTTGTTATGAAACGGGTTCTAGGTAAGGATGGCAAATCAATTGATGAAGTAGTGAAACTTAGTCAGTTGAGATGGCTGCGACATGTGCTGCGCATGCCCGACCACCGACTGCCCCGACGTGCTATATTTTATGGTGTAGGAGTAGGTTGCAAGAAAGCTAGGGATGGCCAGACCAAAACACAGCACAAATCCATGAAGTCACTGACAAGTGGACTGAGCCATGTTGGTAGGTGTAGACTGCTTGGTTGGGGACCGCGAGATGATAGCAACCGATGGTTAGGGACCTTGAATGACATGGCTCAAAATCGTTTGCGATGGCGCAGGTGCATCCACTCTTTGTGTTCTCTCAAATTCTAATCTTCTGAATTCTTCATGTCCTTTATTTTCTTTCCCAATTTATTCCACTGGACTATACTCCTTTAATAACATCATCAAACCTTAATGTCCCCTATCTCTACTTATACTTTCACTACCTCTACCACTACGGGATTTGAATCGATAACAGCATCTCTGTGTTAATGTGGTATGGCAACTCGAACTGGTGTAAGTACGTACGAAGTTCCACGTTGTTACTGACTGACTGACTGACTGACTGACTGAAACAACGATGTAATGTAAAATTATCATCGATGCACAAATTCCAGAATCTTAATAAGGTTATTAACAGAATAATACTTGCACATTCCTCATACCGCTTCTTTTAAAATGCTATTTACAGATGTACTATTTTTCATAACGTTTACATTAGGACAAGCAGTCAGTGGTTGAATGAAGCATTGTATAATTTTATAAAACAATGTGTCAGCTCGAGAACGTTACGAAAAAAAAAACGGAAGCATTTGTAATTAAAATTATTCAGCTTACACAACGTAACATTATCAAAAACAAACGCTTAAGCTGTAAATTTCCCTCATAATTTCATGCAAAGAAAATAACTCTGAGTTAATGATATTACTAACATTATGTCAAGTTCAGATGGGTTATTCTAACTTCTGAACAGACCGGTTTATTCATTGTTTCCAAGTCATATTCCGACCTTGTTCATCATTCACTTATTAACCTTAACTGCTTTTATGTATCCATTGCCTATCCCACTTATCACATGCCTGGAATTTATTTTTGTTTGACTATAAGCATTGAGTCACATTTAATTAAATCGAGTTGGCTCCCTTGCCTCCTCTGCTCCGCTCGCTCTTTCTGCACTTCGTTTCTCCGAATGTCTATCTGGATAAACGAGTGATTGAAATAAATTCATTCAACACAACCCGTATTCGGCTTTGTATTACCGCTGTCACATAAACGGGGTTAGCCTAGATAATATACAGAGTTAAATGAGAAATCTATGCTCATAGCATATTCGTACATTCATCCGAATCGGAGTCAAATACTGGGCATTAAGGAACTTTTTTAAAGGAAAGGCTATAAAATTTAACAAAATGAATCGGATTAAGTTTTTCATACTCTAGACGCACATTTTGAAGGCTGTAGTCACAATGCCATTTTCTAATATTTGTCACGATCAATTTATCATCGTGTCACTGAAATGAAAATATTCACTAGAGTTTTGTTGTGTAATGATGAACAATGACAAAAAATAGTATTACAAATAAGCACTGGTGGACTAAACAGGTATGTTATTATGCGGGAATGATGTAGGTACATCTGGCAAATAACTAGAGGCTACTTGGTTTATTGTCCGATAGGTTATCAACTGAACTATGAAATTTAATAATGATCATTCCAAATAATAATCAATTAATCGATTGATATGATTAGCTGTAATTCAATTATAATTATCAAGAAATTTAACAGAATCGTTAGTATGATAAAGTGAGTAATACTCTACTCTTTCTTGAGATAACATGATTTTCGGAGGAAATTTGTTACTTTATTCAACAGTTCCGGATGAAACGCAGAAAATTATAAAATGTGCAATCCTGTTGTTGCTAACCCTATCTACTCAATCATTACTATAATCAAATCAAAAAACTTACTTGATATTCAGAGTCATTATCAAGATTTATTTCAGTTTCCAACGTAGAATTTCTATGTTTATCATGTGGCCTCATTGGAGCTAAACAAATAAAATAAGAAGACAGCTACGTTTAGAAACTGTTGTCTAGGTTGCATACGAAGATTACTAAATTACTAACTACTTACCAACTACATTAAAATTCTTTGCGTTACCTATGAGAAAAGATATCAAGAATAACAATAGCAAATAGCATTTTTATTCTTACGACCAAACGCTTTTAAATAACGAATGTGAAAGTAACTTCAAAATGCTAAAATTATGACTCCAACCAATACTATTTTGCGACGAAGTTTTCATCTACATTCCAATAATTATCCTTATCCATTACTAGTCCAGGAGAAATAGTTACACAAGTATATTAGAATTGAGTGATTATTTTCGTTTAATCACTCATCATCTGCTTACTTATAATCGTTTTTGTTGTTAATTTTTCCAATCAAAAGAACAAAGTATTCTGAATTAGTCCATTTCTTTCTTCCTACGAAATTCTTAGTTAATGTACTTTTTTTGCTGTCTGTTGTATGTACAACTATTGAATGTTGAACAATACAAATCCACTGTGCAAACTAAGAATTGTAAGTTTCTAACGTACAGAAATCATGAGAAATAGTTAGAAAACTGGAACTCAATTTCAGTTTGATAATCATATTCGTAGTAATATAATTTGAAACATTTGAAACAGTAAAAACTCAACTGATCATTATCTAACAGCGTAAAATAAATAAATCCTGATAATATCTTGGTACCTCGAAATTTAACTGATTAAAATTTAAGCGAAATTCAAAGTTAACTACAGTTTATTCACCATTCAATTTGTGCAGCTGATATAAACGGTATTGATTATTCACTAACGTAAACTGGCACACACCGACCAAGTTTAAAGAACTATTTAGTTGAGAATCGTCTAGCTTCAGGGGAGCTGCTGTTATACTCCGGACATGAACAAGAAAATGCTCCACATACGCAAAGAGTTGCATTGATGCTGTCTAAACAAGCACAAAATACACTTATAGGTTGAGAATCTCATGGACCAAGGATCATCAAAGCCTCCTTCAAAACAAAGAAAACGGGCATTACAATGAACGTCATCCAATGCTACGCGCCTACCAACGACTACAATGAAGATTCGAAAGATCAATTCTACGATAGGCTGCAGTCAATCGTCGAGAAGTGCCCAACAAAAGACCTGACTATTCTGATGGGAGACCTAAATGCCAAGGATGGAATCGACAACACCGGATATGAAGAGATCATGGGACGACACGAACTCGGAGAAACGAACGAAAATGGTGAGAGATTTGTAAACCTATGTGCCTTCAATAAACTGGTCATAGACGGCACTATATTCCCACATAAACGCATACACAAAACCACATGGACTTCACCGGATCACACCACACAGAACCAAATCTACCATATCTGCACCAACAAAAGGTTCAGGAGGACGATGGAGGACGTGAGAACCAAGAGAGGAGCTGATATAGCATCAGATCATCACTTGCTGGTCGCCAAGATGAAATTGAAACTCAAGAGGCACTGGACAACGGGGAGGACAATATCACAAAAATTTAATACGGCTCTTCTTCGGAATAATGACAAACTCAACAAATTCAAGATAGCTCTCAGCAATAAGTTCCAAGCCTTTCATGATCTACTCAATGGAGAAGGGACTACTATGGAGAGCAACCGGAAAGGGATAAGAGAGGCAATCACTTCAACATGTCATGAGGTTCTGGGCCAAAAGAAGCACGATCACAAGGATTAGATCACGGTTGATATACTGGATAAGATTCAAGAAAGGAGGAACAAGAAGGCAGCAATCAATACCAGCCGAACAAGAGCAGAAAAAACCAAGGCACAGGCTGAATACACAGAAGTAAACAAGCAAGTGAAAAGGAGCATCAGAACCGACAAACGTAAATATGTGGAGGATTTGGCAATGACGGCGGAAAAGGCTGCCAGAGAAGGAAACATGAGACAACTGTATGAAACAACAAAGAAACTCTCCGGAAATCACCGTAAACCAGAACGACCAGTGAAAAGCAAGGAAGGCAAGATAATCACCAACATTGAAGAACAACGAAACAGGTGGGTAGAACACTTCAAAGAACTCTTGAATCGACCAGCCCCACTAAACCCACCCAACATCGAAGCAGCACTCACGGACCTCCCAATTGATGTTGGCGCACCGACAATTGAAGAAATCAGCATGGCTATCAGACAAATCAAGAGTGGCAAAGCAGCAGGACTAGACAGCATTCCAGCAGAGGCACTGAAAGCAGACGTAGCGGCAACTGCAAGGATACTCCAAACTCTCTTCAAAAAGATCTGGGATGAGGAACAGGTACCAAAAGACTGGAAAGAAGGACTTCTAGTCAAAATACCAAAGAAAGGCGATCTCAGCAACTGTGACAACTACAGGGGAATCACTCTTCTTTCAATACCGGGAAAAGTCTTCAACAGGGTATTGTTAAACAGGATGAAGGACTCCGTAGACGCCCAACTTCGAGACCAACAGGCAGGATTCCGTAAGGATAGATCGTGCACAGACCAAATCGCAACCCTACGGATCATTGTGGAACAATCAATTGAATGGAATTCATCACTCTATATCAACTTCATCGACTACGAAAAAGCATTTGATAGCGTGGACAGAACAACCCTATGGAAGCTTCTTCGACACTACGGCGTGCCTCAGAAGATAGTCAATATCATACAGAATTCCTATGATGGATTAAACTGCAAAATCGTGCATGGAGGACAGTTGACAAACTCCTTCGAAGTAAAGAACGGTGTCAGGCAAGGTTGCTTACTCTCAACATTTCTCTTTCTCCTGGTGATCGACTGGATCATGAAAACATCAACATCTGAAGGGAAGCACGGGATACAGTGGACAGCTAGGATGCAATTGGATGATCTAGACTTCGCAGATGATCTGGCTCTTCTATCGCATACGCAACAACAAATGCAGAAGACAACCAGTGTAGCTGCAGCCTCAGCAGCAATAGGTCTCAATATACACAAAGGGAAAAGCAAGATTTTCCGATACAACACAGCATGCAACAATCCAATCACAATTGACGGAGAAGATTTGGAAGATTTAAAAATCTTTACATATTTGGGCAGTATCATCGATGAACACGGTGGATCCGATGCAGATGTGAAGGCGTGGATCGGCAAAGCAAGAGCAGCATATCTACAATTGAAGAATATCTGGAACTCAAAACAACTGTCAACTAACATCATGGTCAGAATTTTCAATACAAGTGCCAAGACAGTTCACTGTATGCGACGGAAACCCGGAGAACTACGAAAGTCATCATCCAAGTGTTTATTAACAGTTGTCTACGCAAAATACTTCAGATCCGCTGGCCGGACACTATTAGCAACAACTTACTGTGGGAGAGAACAAATCAGATCCCAGTGGAGGAAGAAATCAGGAAGAAGCTCTGGAAGTGGATAGGACACACATTGAGGAAAGCACCGAACTGCGTCACAGGACAAGCCCTCACATGGAATCCTCAAGGTCGAAGGAGGTGAGGAAGACCAAAGAACACATTACGCCGGGAAATGGAGATAGACACGAGAAAAATGAACAAGAATTGGATGGAACTAGAAAAGAAGGACCAGGACAGAGTGGGTTGGAGAATGCTGGTCGGCGGCCTATGCTCCATTGGGAGTAACAGGCGTAAGTAAGTAAGTAAGTAAGTAAGTAAGATTACTTTTTATCAAAAGTTTTAGAGATGAAGAAGACTCTGATTCAAACTAATCTTACACTTGAATCGATCGCTCAGTCAGTACTGCAAATAAAATACTGTGATTGAAGCACTTGTGTATGGGGAATTCAGCCTTATAAAGTAAAGCAAAAACCTATGAGCCATCAATCATATTAACTATAATAAACGTAACTGAATAATTAAGTGACAACATCAGAATGAAATCAATTCAGTGAATGAAATTCGGTGGACTTATAATTATTGAACCTATGCATGATTAATGGAATTATCTCGGAACATTTATTGCTACCAGGGTCACAAAAAGTCAACTACAATCTTCTTTTCACGATCATCTTCCAAGTGTAACAATTCACTTTGGTTTCCTATCACTGTTTTTCCATTTTGTTCATCTCTTCACATTGTGCTAAATTTCACGTAGTTTGTCTGTTTATTCATTTACACGGTTAAGTGCTCGCGCGCGAGACCAGTAGGTCCTGGGTTCGAGTCCAGTGAGGCGGGATCGTGGATGCGCACTGCCGAGGAGTCCCACAATGGGACGAAACGGCCGTCCAGTGCTTGCAGGTTTTCCATGGTGGTCTAGCTTCAATTGACTCATGATCTCAACAACTGAAATTACTAAAAATCTCCACAAAACCCCCTTCTGACAATATATATTTTTGGTACAGATGTTTCAATCCTTAAATGATTAAAATCGTAATGCTAGAGAAAAACAACATAAACGTTCACATTTTAAAAGGACGGCTTTTATTCAATTCCGTTATCAAACATGATTTCATTTAAGTGTATGAAGTACATACAATGACAATTTTATATTTCAAGCCCTCAATACTACTAATCAGTGCTAAATGACTGGATATAAAAACTGATATATTGGTGAGCTGAGCTAATAATTCACTACTCCAAATTTAATACTAAGGAAACTACTACTAGCTTTTTGATGTTAACCCAGTACAAAATTGAACAAAGTGTATTTAAACCGAATACTTGTCACATTAACACAAATCTTCGTAAAAATATATTGAAATTCCATGAACAGTGTTCACACTGAATAACCTACAGTTACAGAATTTTAATTGAATCAATACTGATTTGTTTTTTGCATAAGTTAAAATGTGCACTGCTGAAGAGTCCCATACTAGAACGAAATGGCCGTCCAGTACTTTAAGGTTTTCACTCACGGTCTAACATTGATCCATTCATGAAATCAATCTAAACCTAACAATCTTTACAACCCTATACTGATAACTGCACATTGCATATCTCCAAGAAAAATCAAAAAGTTATTCATCAAATGAATTCGACTAAATAATATAATTATTAAATTGTAATAGTGATTACGTTTAACTGAAAAAAAATTAATAAAAAAAGTAGAACTAATTAACATATTAAGTAAAATATACTGATCAATTTACTTGATTCACTTAATACACAACCATTATTTATTGGTACACTCTTAATGGACAATTTCTTCGATTTCAAAGGATCACAACAAGAGAATTCTTGTAATTTTCTCGGAAACATCAAGAGTATAATGGCACCAATGAAAACAAGACCTCCTAGAAAAGTATAAATAACAAGTTTTATTTCGATAGAAAAAATAAATAATTTGATAAATTCATTATATATGTAAATTATATTTGAATTAATCTCAGCGATTGAAATTTAAATAATTCCAACGTTTCGTCCAGCTAACATGTCTGGACTTCTTCAGGGTAGTCCAGACAAGTTAGTTGGACGAAACGTTGGAATTATTTAAATTTCAATCGCTGAGATTATTTCAAATATAATTTACATATATAATGACTTCTCTATACTCGGCGCCCAATATCTGTCAAACTATTCGTTCTAATCTGATAAATTACTGTATAAAAATTCTTAACTTTTCAAAATGTACATACCATTTTTAGTTTATATACAAATATGTATTTTGCTTATCAGTCAAACTATGATATAAATAGGATATTATTTTTGAGAAACCAATGAATCAATGTTAACATTATAGGTAAATAACAGATACATTAGTTAAATTATTCAACCTCTTTAGTCAGCTAGATTATAAGAACAACGACCATTAGGGACATTAGCTTATTCAAACAAGTTCGAAGGAAAGAACCGAACTAAGTGAAGACCAACTACACTTTTAAAGGAATTAGAAACAAAATGATAGATGTAAACAACTTAGAATCTGGTACAAATGTGCTGGCGTAATGAATAACACATTAGCTACCATGATTCGAATAACCTAAACGACTGAGATTTTAATGTTGAATTTACTTAAATAAATTTGTCATAGTTATTCGAAGATAAATAGGAAAGGATATGAGTTATTAGGCTCATACATCATTAACCAACGTCAAGTTGTTTAACCAAGTGACTGTATTGTAAACCGGATCAATAGAATTTAACCGGTACTAAGGACTAAAAGAGAAATTAGTTACTGTTTAGCGACCAACTACCTAAACACCGAATGACTGTAGTCTGAAAATCACACGTACACTTGAATGATGCTCTACAGAGAAGACTTGCCACTTTAAGTATCAATAGAATCAGTACATTAAACCAGACCATTTCACTATTTTGAAACATCCCCTTACTATTAAAGCACAACTATTTTCTAATTTAATTTGAACAGTAATATAAAATCAGCGATTTTAACAAAATAATCAATTACATTTTGAAACTATAGAACCTAAATTTTCTTCAAGCAAATATGGCCTTGTTTCTCTCACCCTACAAAAAGCATTTAATAATTATGGCTAGAAAAAAACAAGAACACTATTAGCATGTTTACTATTTAAATCGGAGTGAGAAACGATATATTTTCCTCATCTCCGCCTATGCTCCGACAGATTGCAGCCCGGATGCAATCAAGGATGAATTCTACCCCCAGTTAACTGTTCTTCTCCAGAAAATGAGTTCGACAGATATTGTAGTTTTATACACATAGTTCCCTTTATCATTTTGAAAAGAGCAAGAACAAAGATCCTGGCAGAATAGCATGAATTCATTTTATTTCGTAGGTTCTCGTCAGCTGTTTACAACCTGTGATATTTAAAAATCATAATTACATAATGGGTTTAAATTACTTACATGAAAGAGTTTGGTTGGAAGTTATATTGAAGGCATATTCGTAAGGTAAAGCATGCATGTGAATAAAATTAATAGACTGAATATTGTAAATATATACCTTATGTGAAAGAATATTCTACAGCATTAATTGTGACAACAGTTCAAAAGGGGGTAGAAACAATTGATTATATAATGAATAAACATTGATAGAAATACAGTGAGTAGAGCTCAGTTGAAAGATTATTAATTTGGAAGATAGTTGAAAAATAAAAATCAATGGTGTAATAAATGCAAGAAAGAGTTTAAAAAAATTTAGGGTGCAGCGAAAGAATATTTGTCACCAAGGCAAGGAAAGATTAACAACCGTCTCCTTTTGAACACATAGGTCAGGTTTTTGACGCCTGATGGTAACGACATCAGCAAACTTCAGAAGACTGGAATTTGGCCTGCTGCTCCGGCAACATCGATCGGACTGTCCTGCCCCCCATGGCCTGTGACGACTGATCCACCAAATGAGGCGGAAGTCCGCAAGGAATTCCAACTCTTGAAGCGCTACAAATCACCGGGTCCAGATGACTTACCTCCGGCTCTTTTTAAAGATGGTGGTAACTTTATGGCTAAGGAACTGACAACGATGTTCACAAAGGTCTGGGAACTAGAGTGTACCAACGTTATGGAATGAACTGATAGTTGTCCTTATCTTTAAAAAGGGTTCACATCGTTCCTGTAACAACTATCGGGGGAAAAGTCTATTTCCGATTGCGTCCAATCTATTGGCTTCCGTCATACTTCGTAGGTTGTTCAAAACCCGATAAAGATTGACTCGCGAAGAGCAAGCTTGTTTCCGTTCTGGTCGAGGATGTATTGATCATATCTTCACCCTCCTCCAAATATTAGAACACCGCCATACTTATCAAAAGCCAACAATCGTAGTGTTTCTTGACATCAGGGCTGCCTTCGATTCGCTGGACAGGACTGTTCTCTGGGATTGTCTATTGAAAAAGGGTGTACCTGACAAGTTTATTAACATCCTAAAAGCCATATAAACAAACACCTCAGGCAGAGTGAGGGCATACAACCACCTTTCTCCATTATCCCATTCGAGCAGTGGGGTTAGGCAGGGTTGCCCAATCTCACCATTCCTCTTCAACTGTGCCATCGATGACATTCTGGAAACACCTTTGATGGATGTAAGTAATGGCGGTGTGGATCTGTTGCCTGGGTAAAGACTTCTCGACCTTGAGTATGCGAATGATATTATCTTACTGTGCGATAGGTGCGATTCGCACGTATTCAGTTGGCGATTAGTGTCCGTAGGTATGATACGTGTTTCGCACCTTCTAATGGCAAAGTACTTTTACAGGACTGGCAGGACCCTGATCCTGCACTCACCGTAGGCAGTGAGCAGATAGAAGTAGTCGAGAATTTCGTGTATCTAGGTAACTGCATAAGTGCTGGTAGTGGCGTGAGTGATGAGATCGATGCACGTATAGTGAAAACCAGAGTGGCTTATGCCGATCTGAACCGTCTTCGACACCTTCGTGATGTTAGTCTGGCTGTAAAAGGTCGAATCTACAACGCACCGATGACAGCAGTTTTGCTCTATGCTTGTGAAACCTGGCCTCTCCGAGTTGAGGATGTTAGAAGACTCTCTATGTTTGATCATCGCTGTCCCCATAGGATTGCTGACATCCAGTGGCAACACCATGTTAGTAATCTAGAGGTTCGGCATCGTGTGTTCGGGCACAGAGACGATAATTCAATTGGTATCACCATCTTGAAACATCGACTTCGGTGGTTTGGACATGTTCTACGAATGTCGTCCCAGAGAATTCCACGTCGTGCATTATTTTTCGACGTTTTTGACTGGTTGGAATAAACGGAGAGGTGGTCAGTGTATGACATGGTGTCGTGGTATGAAAGAAAGCTGCACAGGACTGGCTTCTGTCGGTCCTTCATGACTCTTGCTGGGGTCCGAGAGATGGTGGGACACAGTGGCTAGAGACGTTATCATATATGGCTCAAAATAGAAGCCAGTGGCGATCCTGCTGTAACCTTCTTTTGCTTTCTTCATAAAAAGTGGTTGTATCTTCATTAACTGGAAGATTTCTTCAGGTTGTACGTTTCCATTTCCTCCATTATTATTATTATTATTACACTACCTTACACTAATCTAGTCGTTATTGTTCCTCTTCTTTTTTTTCTTCTACGCCCCTTACCTTCCTTTTTCTCTTCCCATTCTCATTGTTTGTGTGGCGCATATATATTTTGTGCCAAATTTTGTACCAAAATTTATGTGTTCAAATAAATAAATAAATAAATACATCAAATTACTTCAAGAAAAAATTGCCTGGGATGAGATTGTTATTACGTAGATTATTACTAACCTAATAAAATGAATCCAGCCCACCAGGCACCAATCCATTCAGGATCATCAGGACCTATTTTGAAAGGTTTATTCACAGTTAAGACATCAGCTGGGTACTGTAGTAAAAACGCTCCCAAGGCAAATCCTATGACAGGACCCATTGCTGAAGCTGCATATAGTGAAGCTATAATATTTCACGTTAAAAATAAAGAGGAATTATTCTTAATTAAAATGGAATATGAAATCAAGCATAAAATGTAATCTGTAGAAAAATTTAGGTAATAAGAACGGATATACACAAAACAAGAAATAAAAGAGGAGTTACCTAGTATTGTTTACCAATACAATTCAGTGATTAAAATCAAAAGCCATATAGACATTTGAAAATATGGGATTTTTGAATACGACACTTAATACTGATACCAAGTAAACCTAGAGAATGTTGAAGGCATTAGTGAGTCAACACAGAAGTGAGGTTATATCACTTTGTAGTGTCAAACAGATTTAGAAATTAACTGATCTACAGAAAATGGGATCATCTGGTAAGCTTTTTTGTTTAATAAGACGGCTTATAGAAACAACCTGAAAGTACGAGTCATCAAAGCTGGATATATAAAAATAGTACCATTCCCTGAATCATGATTAAACATTTTGTTGTGACATTGTGCCTCATTTTAATAACTTAGTAGTATAATAGTCTTAAGGAACATATTTACACTATGTCCTAAATTGCAGGGAATAGTTATCATTTTAACACCTTATATCAACACATAAGGAAACGTAATAATAAGATCTATTAGAAGGCAAACAAGGGATGAAGGTATGAAACAATAATATGCCTAGAATATAAGGGTAACGTGAAAGTATTAGAGGGCCTTTCAATCGTTTCTGAATCTTTTAATACAATGATACTAATCGATGACTTATGACATGTAGCGCAGAAGAAGAAAAAGATTAACAATGACATCATCAACTTAATTGTGTCATTTTTCGCTTAACACTATATTTATCTAGTATGGTACACTAAATGGTGGTGATAAAAGGACGTACTTAATTTACGTACTATCCATTTACCACATTTCTGTGCAATTTTATCTGGAGGTAAAATGGAGAGAATAAAAGTAATAATAACAAGTATTTCATACGATGCTCTTAGTGAACTTGAACTACATACTATGATTGCTGATAAAACTGGACCTGATCAATCTTCAGCATATTTAGAATAGGAGTTCCGACATTTTAGAAGGATGAAAAACTTCAGACGATACTTTTTGTATACTGAACCTGACGTAGTGTGAATATCTAGAACATAGACACACATTCATACGCCCCACAATCGCAGTATTTCAGAACCTTAAGGCGGCATTTGACTCTGTTGATCGTGAGGTTCTATGGCAGTGTTTGTCACTGAAGGGAGTACCAAAAAAGTACATCAACCTTATAAAGGCTATCTACTCGAACATAACTGGTCGAGTGAGAGCTTATGGTGAACTGTCATCAGAATTGATTACCTCAAGTGGTGTTCGTCAGGGCTGTCCACTCTCTCCATTCTTGTTTAACTTTGTCGTTGACTTCCTTTTAGAGATGACACTTTCCTCATCTAAATTTCCAGGAGTTGAACTTCTACCGGGAGATCCACTTGTTAACTTAGAATATGCCGATGACATAGTTCTATTTTGATGGAGTTTTGTTCTCTGAGCTGGATGGTTTGGTCGTGGAGCTTTCATCGTTCTTCTGAACGACATCATCAGCACGAACTTCAGATAGAAGTGAAGTGATCGAATTTCTCCATATGCGTTTCACAGCTTGTTCTGTGCACCTCGATGTTGATTGGTTCTTATTGACCAATCAACATCGAGGTGCACAGAACAAGCTGTGAAACGCATATGGAGAAATTCGATCACTTCACTTCTATCTGAAGTTCGTGCTGATGATGTCGTTCAGAAGAACGATGAAAGCTCCACGACCAAACCATCCAGCTCAGAGAACAAAACTCCATCAAAATCATCCACCTGAGCTACAAATCTTCTCCACCATCTCACATAGTTCTATTTAGTGAAGACGCTGACAAAATGCCGAGTCTGCTGACCACTCTAAGCAACAATGCAAGCATGTTCGGCATGCGATTTTCTCCCTCGAAATGCAAAATGTTGCTTCAGGATTGGGTTGCGTCGTCACCCGAACTAGTGATAGGGAGTGAAGTAGTTCAGCGTGTCGACCGCTTCACTTATCTCGGAAGTCTCATCAGCCCTTGTGGTCTGGCGTGTGACGAAATCTCAGCACGGATACAAAAGGCTCGACTAGCTTTTGCCAACGTGCGTCATTTGTGGCGTAGGCGAGATATCCGTCTATCAACCAAAGGACGTGTTTACTGCGCAGCAGTTCGTTCCGTCCTACTTTATTGCAGTGAAACATGGCCGATAAGAGTAGAGGATATTCGTAGGTTACTAGTATTTGACCATAGGTGTCTTCGAAACATCGCTCGTATATCCTGGGACCACCGAGTAAGTAACTCAGTTGTTATGAAACGGGTTCTAGGTAAGGATGGCAAATCAATTGATGAAGTAGTGAAACTTAGTCAGTTGAGATGGCTGCGACATGTGCTGCGCATGCCCGACCACCGACTGCCCCGACGTGCTATGTTTTATGGTGTAGGAGTAGGTTGCAAGAAAGCTAGGGGCGGCCAGACCAAAACACAGCACAAATCCATGAAGTCACTGACAAATGGACTGAGTCATGTTGGTAGGTGTAGACTACCTGGTTGGGGACCGCGAGACGATAGCAACCGATGGTTAGAGACCTTGAATGACATGGCTGAAAATCGTTTGCAATGGCGCAGGTGCATCCACTCTTTGTGTTCTCTCAAACTCTAATCTTCTGAATTCTTCATGTCCTTTATTTTCTTTCCCAATTTATTCCACTGGACTATACTCCTTTAATAACATCATCAAACCTTAATGTCCCCTATCTCTACTTATACTTTCACTACCTCTACCACTATGGGATTTGAATCGATAGCTGAATCTCTGTGTTAATGTGGTATGGCAACTCGAACTGATGTACGTACGTACGAAGTTCCACGTTGTTACTGACTGACTGAACCCCGGTATGACTAGGCTAAGCAACTTTTAGTATTCACAGCCGTACTATATTTTTTAATTCATTTTAATATACTCTAATACATTCTCACAACTACATCAAATATTGGTTTACAGATAACAGTAGTGAATACGAGCAAAAGTGTAACTATTTTTGATTATTCCACAACACCTAAATTACAGATTAACCGCATTTCCATCAAAACAATTATTAAACATGACTAATCAGTAAAATAAATGGATACAAAATTACCTATCATTGGGGGCGCTTTGGAAGAAGGTACATGATCATCGATGAAAGGGGGGGTTAATGTCAAAATTGGACTCGAACCAGCACCAATTAACAGCTGGGCAAAAATAAAAACGGGAAGAAAGGCATAACCAATGGTAGAAGATTCTGAACAGCCAAGTAACGACTTGTCATCACATCCTTCAGAGCAGGTACTTGTATTCTTGGATACAACACAAAGTTGTTCATTTAAGGAAACAGAACTTGTTCTACTACTATCAAAGAAAACGAAGTGAGGCAGAGACCACAAAAATGATCCAGCAGACATTATAAAAAGGCCAATTGATATCCACACAGGTACTCGACCATGACTCCCAACGTAACTGACATATATAACAGAAAAAATATAGCCAACTTCAAAACAAGAATTCATTACTCCTATCACACTGCTGCCTATCGCAAACCGTTTTTCTAGAGTTGTCACTTGAGAACTTGTGTACCCAGAAAAAGAAGCTTGTAGGCAAGATATAAAGCAAGCAGCAGCAAGGAAAGCTATTAAGTTTCCAGAACTACGCAAAAACGGAGGACGCCATTTGTAGATACCACAATATAATGAACGATCAGCAATCTCTGGAGACAATGTGGTTTTGGAAATTCTATGTTGTTTTAAATCTTCAGGAAACTGACACTCTCCCTCACAAGTTTCGACATTACTAGCGGCATTATTTTCCAGCATCCCAGGAACAGCTGATGTCAGTGGTTTCCTGTAAATTATACGAAGACAGAAGCAGGCCTGAATTCAATGGACTAAAACCAACAAGCAACAAGTATTAACGAAAATCAATATTACACAGATTAATAAGTTATGTCAGTACATTATTACAGGCTGTAAAAAACTATCATCAAATGCATCACAGAGGTGTCTCACGTAAAACGGAAACGCTTGTTTTATGTCTCCCACTCTGAAAAGCGATGTTTAGTTACACCATTAACTGTTCAAAGCGAAATTAAAAATACCCTGAATAGAGTTCAGGTACAAAAATCATATAAGTTATGAAAATGAAATGGTGTTTAAACTCTCAGAATTAAATACGACCACTGACAAAAATCATCGCTACGATAGGCAACCTACTTCACAGGAAAAAATAATATGAAGTGTGACAAAACCAATAGGCTGCGGGTAAAAACGCCGGGACGTATGTTACATATGCACAAACACTGCCAAAAACCATTACACTAAAGAGTTTAGTTGAATCGCGAAATCACAGACTGTTTTTCTGAACCATGTAGGTAAATCCAGACTTCTTAGTTGGAACCCGTATGGTAATCAATGTACAGTAGTAAACAATAGAAAATCTGAAGAGTGTTTCTACATTGTACCCTTCCCTAGACCTCGAGTTCTAATATTATTTTATCCATACTATTCCTCAAGTTCATTAGTTCTTACTGAACCATTCTGGTTACGTTGTTTTCCATAATCGCTGACATTACTATAATTTCGACTTAAATTTCCTCTTGCTGTACTGACATATGGGTATTTGGGTTAAATAGATAACCATAATATTACAGGAAACTTATGGTAATGCTTGGCATTGGTTGCAGTAGCTCATAAACATTTACTATTTACCTCTCCTTAGACCTTTAACATTGCTTGGTAACATTTATTCAATTCCATAATTTCCCTTTGAACTTAACTCTCTGTGTCCACTGGCTTACTACCATAGATGCTCCTGCTATGTAGGTCCCTTTTGTATATAACTTGACAATTTCCCCGCGTTATGTCAGTATGATAATAACTTTGCTTTATCGTTGTGGACGGGGCTACATACGTTATGAAAGAATGTAACAACAAATAAGAAATCTGTAATTTTGCTTTCGTTAGAGGTAGCTGTGTAAATATATAGTATGGAACTTAACAGGGACTGACCGGTCGTTTGTTCTATACGACTTGGGATAACCTCCATATTAGTACTTGGTGGTACGGATTGGACAAAACTTAAACGGAAAAACAAAGACCAAGAACATTATCAATAAAAGAATAAATTAATATAATTATTTTTCATGGTGAAGACTTAGGTATGTTTTAGGGAGAACCATACGATGTGATAACAAGTGTTAAATGATTTAGTGATCATTATTAGGAAATCACAAACAAGCATAGTTAGTCCGATGGCAAAAAAAGGGCTTCAAATTAGTCCATATACGTTACTCCCAACGAATATACATCTACAAAGTATATTCTCGACATCAATTTAGAGATCGCACGAATAATTTTCATATGAGTGTAAGTAAATGAGACAGTAGCAAAAAGCATCATACCTAAAGTTGGTAATACGTAACCAGGTCGGAGAGGTATCAGGTGATCTTTCCGGTCACTAGAACGAAATAAATAAAAACCGACCGGAACGGCCTTGGAAGTCTTCCAACCCTGGTTATAGAGAGTATAAAATAATGATTCGCTAAAACAAAATCCGAACGAAGTCACACACAATTTGTTTGTGAAAGGAGTTTTAAATCGAAATTTGACATGCGCTTTAAATGTTACTTCTTTTACTGCCCGACGATTTCGCCTAGGCCTGAAAAAGTCTTCAATCTACCTTTGAAGTAATCAGAATTAGGTGCCATCATAATCCCGCAAAGCATCCAACCGTGACTTTCTTATTTCAATCAAAGAAATTAACTTCAGTTCACATGTATATACCTGCAATTTTGGTGTGATACGGAAACGACGAAATCACCAGAAGAAGGATTTGAAATATAACCGTTCATTGCATGAACTTACATCTTACTGCAGTAATAAGGTTGCGAACACATCAACTTTAGTATGGCTAAGTATGGCTTTTTCTTACACAAAGTATCATATATGGCCCTCTTCTCAAAACTTGTTTCAGGAGAGCGATATCGATTTAAAGGTTAGGGGAGCGAAAAAAGTTAAGGTGATAGGGGACTAGGTTAGTGACAGAGCATCTCTAAGTTTCAGCAGAAAAAAGAATATCAACATTATACGCCATAACAGGACTAAACATAATTAACAACCGATTGCTTTAAACTTGTTTTTTAGTACAGACAAAGTGGGTGTAAATGACCAGTAAACTCCGGTTGATGCATAATAAAAGTTAGTCTGTGAGGGAATTGGGTTCTAACCATACAACCCTCAAAGGTGAACTCGAAAAAACTGGAAAAATAAATAGTCAACATTTGACGCGGAGAAAAACCCAACAATGGAGAAGGCGAAAAGGATTAATTGAATTCAATCAGATGTCATGGCTCAGCCTTGCAGGTGTAGTCATTATTGTGTGTTGTCTTATCAGTTTCATTCATATCAAATATATTGTTCCATCTCCAGCCTAATTGTATTATCTATCATATATTGGTGATGATTATGATAGGATGAGTCACTGTTGACAACAATATGACATCCACATGAGATCTTTGAGGGTTCTTTAGTTAGTGAACAGTGCCACCACATGTATATCCTAATCGAAGTGATGTATTGCGTTTTTACAATTTTTAACTTTCAGAATGTCTCACAAATAGTTGGTGATGCAAAGTAGGTTGATCTCGTTGTAGTTTAGATAAGCTTATGTTGATTCTTACTAAATGCTTTTTCGTCACCAGTGATACGATACTTTCAAATTTTGTTTGCTTTATTTTACAAACCGCTGGAGGCCGATGTTTATTGAGACTGATTGAGGAATAACATGAGGTTCAACATTTTATACTTCACTCTTAGACTAATGTATATCCCAATGAATATGATTCGTGATGTTGCTGACGTAAAACGTTCATGAGCCTTTAACAATGTCGATATTAAAAACTTTTAGACTTTATGTACCGTGTTCGTTAGCTCTAGACCCACGTGTTGCATACAAGCGGATAGCTTATGCACAGAAAAGACAGTGGTCTGTTGGACAGGTCCCGGGGAACTGCACTCAAGCTAATTCCCGAAACTGAAAAGTCCCGTGTAATAATAAACTGGCTAAACCAAATCTATTTCTCTTGTCAGATGGAAGAACTGTAGTGTGGAGTCGAGTCGCTATTGGCTATGAACACAACTACACAGACTACGTGCCAATTAACCAATAAGATCCCCGTAGGCTAATATCAGAAGGCAGATGATGGTTGTAGTCGAGATGTATTTGCTGGAGATCTCGTGGTATCGAAAGAATACCGAGATGGTGCCAAAGGAGTACAAGTGTGGTTACTAAGCGTAACCGAATTCGTACAAGTTCAAAGTCAACGGGAGAGTGAGTGTAATGGCTGTCATAAGCATAGTTAAACAAACGAGCACAGTAAAACAATCGCTGGTACAATTGGTTATAATAATAATTGTCTTCATTGGACCAATTACGTTCTGTTGACAAAAGTAGGTCACTACAGGAGCCCCTTGCTAGAAAGGGTTTACACTTTCGATAGGTAGCGATTTGGTTCGTGGGACTGATCGGCAAAAGTGCTGTTGTAGGACGGAAGAGTTTGCGAAACAAGAAGCGATCGTTGATTCTCGAGTTGCTAACGAAAGTCTTTTGCGTAGAACGGTACCAGGAGAAGTGTGCTGTATTTGTTGCTCGAATTAGCATAACACACCAGAGTGGTTTGTACCCAGGATCTGAAGATTGCGTTCGTAGGTATGCGGACCAGAAATTGCTGCAGACGTAGAACGAAACCACGTTGAGCCAAGAAACCGGAAGCGACCATAACGACCAAGCGCGAAACCAAACGTATGTCAGACAGATTCGAAATCAGATTATCGACTGAGTGCGTTGACAATAGCGTGGATGATCAGGCCAGCTCTCGCCAAGGTTGACTGAAGTCGACATTACCAAACGGGCGATGGTCGGAGGCGTGGGCTCAGGATACAAAAGAAAATCAAAAAAACAAAAGTGTAGCGTGCGTGTAGAATAGGAATAGTCCTACACCGTATCCAATGTTGACTGTGAGGTTAGTCGCGAAAGCGTACGGGTAAGTGTACTCGGCGACCGGAACATGAGACAGTAGTCTCGTTCGTACTTCGTGAGCCTGAAATCTCATCCGAGGTCAGGGGAGGCGTGGTCTGCCGACCTAAATTTGAGACGGAAGTCTCGTCCGTAGATGGTGCAGATGACGCGTGCTGTCGACCGGGACGTGAGAATGAGGTCTCTGATGTCTCCAGCGTGGGATCCGAGTTAGATGTATAGATCCCGCTAGAAGGTTTGATAGGTCTAGCACTGAGTCTCAAGTTATCGGGTAGGGTTTCGTGCCTTTTGGTAACCCTCGCGTTATTAATAGAAGAAACCAGACTCGTAGGTAAATAGGTCTTTATTTTAATCTTCGCGCAGTCACAGTGGAGCGTGGGATTTCTTACTCAGGCAAACAAAACCTCTCAACAAGCAATATAAGATAGTTAGAAATATAATGCCTAAACAAAATAAAGAAGTGAATGAATATCTAAACTATGCTGTTTTGATATATGCTTAGTTGCTTGAGATTAACTCTTAACAACCAACTTAAGCTGTTACATTAGCTTACCCCTAGAATCGACTTCCGTAGGAACGTCGTTTCGATAACCTATTTATCAAAAGTTCTGTTTCCGCAGTTCAAGAGAGAATTATCAACTCGCTCACTATGACTTCAAATCAGTGACAACTCCATCGATCCGTGGATGTCTCTTCATTTGCCATCTTATTTTGTAGCATGCAATTTTTACTACACTATAGCTGTCGGTTTGCAACGTGCTCGCAAGAGAAAGAGTTTGAGAAA